TCCTTAATTTATGTCAGTCTAAAACCAAAACCCAGAATGTGTCTTTTCTGATGAACACAATATTTGAAAACGTTTTTTTTAACCATTATGGCCTGGGAATGCCTTCCCTTGCTACACAAGATTGAACCATGTCTTTGGGGCCAATTAGGCCTTTTTTGATTCCCTTCATGAAGCAACTCCTTTCTTCTCCAGCTAATGCTGCAGGGATCCTTAAGTGGCTCCTTAATTTATGTCTGTCTAAAACCAAAACCCAGAGTGTGTCTTTTCTGATGAACACACTATTTGAAAACAATATTTTAGCCATTATGGCCTGAGAACACCTTCCCTTGCCATGTAAGGCTGAACCACATGTTTAGGGCCAATTAGGCCTTTTTTGATTCCCTTCATGAAGCAACTCTCCTTTTTTTCCCCAAATAAAACTGCAGGGATCCTTAAGTGGCTCCTTAATTTATGTCAGTCTAAAACCAAAACCCAGAATGTGTCTTTTCTGATGAACACAATATTTGAAAACGTTTTTTTTAACCATTATGGCCTGGGAATGCCTTCCCTTGCTACACAAGATTGAACCATGTCTTTGGGGCCAATTAGGCCTTTTTTGATTCCCTTCATGAAGCAACTCCTTTCTTCTCCAGCTAATGCTGCAGGGATCCTTAAGTGGCTCCTTAATTTATGTCTGTCTAAAACCAAAACCCAGAGTGTGTCTTTTCTGATGAACACAATATTTGAAAACAATTTTTTAACCATTATGGCCTGGGAATTCCTCCCCTTTCTACACGAGATTGAACCATGTTTTTGGGCCAATTAGGTCTTTTTTGATGCTCTTCATGAAGCAACTCTCCTTTTTTTCTCCAACTAAAACTGCAGGTATTCCTGCTTGGCTCCCTAATTTATATCTGTCTAAAAAACCCCACAGAGTGTCTCTTTTCTGATAAACAGACTATTTGAAACCAGTTTTTTAGCCATTATGGCCTGGGAATGCCTTCCCTTGCTATGCAAGACTAAGCCATGTCTTTGGGGCCAATTAGGCCTTTTTTGATGCCCTTCATGAAGCAACTCTGCTTTTTTCTCCAAATAAAACTGCAGGATCCTTAACTGGCTCCTTAATTTATTTCAGTCTAAAACCAAGACCCAGAATGTGTCTTTTCTGATGAACACAATATTTGCAAACACTTTTTTAACCATTATGGCCTGAGAACAACTTGCCTTGCCAAAACTATGTGTTTGGGGCAATTGGGCCTTTTTTGGTGCTGTGGTTGCCTTTGAAGTAGGTGACCAGCTCCCTCTGGATATCCAAACAGAGAATTTGCAAGGAAAAGGCTTTCTGGAGCATATTTATTTATGTCTGCTGAGCATTTCACATCTGCTTGGTCAAAGAGGAGGAAGTTGTGCTTTGAGGTTCTCCTGGTTGGTTTAATGTGTGAGGAGGACGAGGAGAGGAAACCAAAGTGTCAGGCTCAGCACTTGCTTCTAAAAGACATTGGACTTGGAGATGGGGCAGAAATGGAATTAATCCCTGGGTGACTGACAAAAAGGAGCTGGGAACTGTCAAACTCAAACACGTGGGGTGATGGGATGTAATGTGTGTTGGCCTTTGCCAATAGCACAAATCTGAAATTAAATTAGACTGTTTGTATCAAACTTTTCCTCCTTAAATCACATCACAAAATGCTTCTGCTTAAGGCAGATTGGATTACATGTGGGGTCTGAATACCAGGAGGTCCAAACAACAAAATTGCTTTTCCAATTACACAGGCAGGGCCATCTCAGAAGGAACTGTGTGTCTGATCCTTCTGCTGCAGCAGCTGGTTCACTGAGTCAGTCCCTTCTGCCCGAGGAGTTCTCTGGGTCTGTGTTTTCCTTGCCTTCATCCCTTGTCCTCACTGGGCTGTGATTTGTAGCATCTGGTACCTGCTGAGATGCAGCTCCTGCTGCCAGTTCTGAGCTCTGATCCTGATGGGATCCATCAGCTGTGAAAGGACGAGTGGGGCTCTTTCAAGAGCAGCAGAAGGAAATTGCCTTTTGAGATGCTCTGAGTTTTAAACATTTCCCCTCGTCTTTATTTTATTTCTTTTTAACATAACCAAAGATTTCTTGGATCTGTTTTGCTTAGAAAGGCCATTTCTCAGCTCTTTTCTCCTCTGATATTCTGGTTTTGCACGTGTGTTTGCAGGGTGTGTCAGTCTGATGATGGAACATTGCACTTGCTGATACCTGGTTTTATTCACCCTTCTGCTGGATGGGTGACTGACCATTAATCCTTGTTTCTTTTATCCTTTTGAAATGGTGATAATTGTCTTGGCAAAGTGCACTGGGATCTGCTGGTGAGAATTACACTTAAAAAACACTTACAAGGATTTTTGTTACTCTGTGGAAGAAAATGGGGTGGCCCTGACATGTAACTCTGAAAGGTGAGTTTGGTGGACAAAGAGGGTGAAAATGTCCTGCCAGATTGAGCCATGACACAGGTGGAGGCTGTGCTGTGCTTTCTGTAGGATCTACAACCTCTCCCTGTGATTTTTTATCAGCTAATTAAACAAGGCCACCGACTTCAAAGCATTGGTATGACACCAATTCTCAAGATAGGGATTGGAAGTTATTCCAATGACACCATTGGGCTTGCTGAGCTCTGCTGAGTGTGAAACCAAAGTCCCTCTCCAGCTCTCCTGGAGCCCCTTCATGCACTGGAAGGGGCTCTCAGCTCTCCCTGGAGCCTTCCCTTCTCCAGGTGAACCCCCCCAGCTCTCCCAGCCTGGCTCCAGAGGGGCTTCAGTCCTTGGAGCATCTCCATGGCCCCCTCTGGATTTGCTCCAACAGCTCCTCCTGATGTTGTTCCCCAGGGCTGGAGGCTGCTCTGCAGGAGGGGTCTCACTGAGCAGAGAGATGGATATTTGGATGGATTGCCAGCATAATTATGGATAATTCCCTACTCTGGGATCCCTTGTATTAGAAACAACTGTTTTCTCACTGAGTTGTTGCAGCTGATGTCAGAAAGGAGAGACAAGTTGGTGCAGGGGTGACCAGGCTTCTCCTGGCAAGTTCCAAGCTCCAAGTGAGATGGAGCTGTGCTGCTCCTTCATGTGACCATGAGATCCAGAGGATGGAGCTGCCTCTTGGCAGGAAAAAGGCTGAGAACTTTGCAGATCTCCTACTTTGTCATCTTATTCCTCCAATGTGAACACACTGCCCTTATATTCTCCTTTAATGACATTGCTCCTGCTTTCAAGGACAGGAGGTGACACAGTACAATTAATCCTCTCCTGGTATTTCCTCCCCTTGTACAAATATTGGCAGAAGTGTCCTTGCAGGCTCCTCACTGAGGTGTTAATAAAACCTTTCTCATGTCACTAAAGCTTCCTGCATTTCAGTTCACTTTATGCCCATGATATTCCAGGACTGTCTGCCATTTAAGATTTAACCCCCCTTTTTATTGGTTGCTAATTGGAGCTGTATTTTCCAAGCAATGTCCAAAGACACCCAGCAGTGCAAAATGGGCCCTGGGCAAACTCTGCTCACTCCTCTTGAACGTGGAGGGTGAGGGTGGAGGGAAATCCAGGCACTTTGGAAGGACCCTCATTCCCTCCTCACACTCATCAGCTGAACCCACGTGTTGCAGGAAGTCATGGAATAACAAAATCATGGAATACCTTTGGTGGGATCCACAAGGACCATCCAGTCCAGCTCCTGGCCCTGCACAGACACCCCAACAATCCCACCCTGGCCCTCAGAGCATTGTCCAAACCCTCCTGGAGCTCTGGCAGCCTTGGGGCTGTGCCCACTGCCCTGGGGAGCCTGGGCAGTGCCAACCACCCTCTGGGGGAAGAAATCTTTTCCTGGGATCAACCTGACCTGCCCTGACACAGCCAGCCATTCCTGGTCCTGTCCCTGCTCACAGGGATTGGAGCTGCCCCTCTGCTTCCCCACTTTACAAAGCCCTGGAATTCAGGATTATCCAGCTGAAAATTCCCTTGTTGCTGCTTGTATCCACCCCCCCTTGCCTGTCCATGTGCACCTTGGAGAAAAGTTTGGCACCCTCTTGTCTGTATCATTCCTGGAATGGTAAAACTGAAATTCCAGGAGACTTTGCTGCTCCAACATCCAGGAGCCTCCTGTGCTGCACTGAGAGAGGTGACTGATCTCCACCCTTTGAGGTTTGATTCTTTTCTTCATCTCTTCCAGAGAGAGAGAGGTTTGCCTTATTCCATTGGGTTGGTTTTGGTACTGGAGGTGTTTTTTGCACCTTTTTTTTGTTTGTTTTTAACGTTTTACTCTTACTGCTGCTAATTGGCCTCCAGATCCAAACTTAAAACGCCAAAGGTGGTATTTTCTGTAGCTTCAAGTCCTGAAAAACTTCAGCTAGAAATTGAAGTCTCCAGCCCTTTGTTTCATCATGGGTGATAAATTTTCCCATCAAAAGCTTCACAGCTTATTTGCCTGCGATATGTGAAGCCAAAGGAAACAGAACTTGTTCTTCCACAGTTTTAGGGCTATAAAGGCATAATAAAAATAAATGTGGTAACAGTAGACACAACACCTCTGAATATGAGCCCTCAGAGTCAGCAGTTCTGTTGGGTAGGAAGGTATTTTTATCAGCAGAGGATGTCACAGAAACTCAACACCCCACACCCAAAAGTGTCCATCTCTTGTGGGTACAGAAGGCCCAAACACATCACTGCAAAACATTATCTGTGTAATTAAATTAGACCTTTAGAAAGAGTAGATCCAGAGGTTTCCTTTGAAATTCCTTTATAAAAACAGTGAGCATATTATTTAATGCTCATGCCACCATCCCACAGCACAGCTCCTGAAGGCTGCTCACAGCTCATGGACACACAGAAATAATGATGGGAAGCTCTCCTCTGGGTCTTGTTTGCCATTGCAGAGGGATTTTCTTCTGCCAGGAGTCACTCTGGGTTGTGCAAAAATACCACTGTTCCCCACATGAAGGGATCTGCCCACCAAGGTCTCATGGACTAATTTAATCTTTTGTTCCCTGTTTCCAGATTTCGCAGAGTTTGTTTTCCTGGGGCTGTTCCTTACTGAGATGTCTTTGAAGATGTATGGACTGGGGCCAAGGAACTACTTCCACTCTTCATTCAACTGCTTTGACTTTGGGGTGAGTTAAGATGAATCACAGAAGACTTTGGGTTGGAAGGGAACTTAAAATCATCCCTTCCACCAGCCCAGGTTGCTCCAAGCCCCGTCCAACCTGGCCTGGGACACTTCCAGGGATGGGGCAGCAACAGCTTCTCTGGGCAACCTGTGCCAGGGCCTCCTCACCCTCCCAGGGAAGAATTCCTTCCCTCATCTAGTCTAAGCATGAAACCATTCCCTCTTGTCCTGGCACTCCATGTCCTTGAAAAAAGTCCCTGTGTGGCTCTCCTGTCATCCAGCAGGATGGGCATTCCAGGGTGGGTGTGGCAATCCATGGGAAATGGTTCTGGGAGTGTTTCTTCTGCAGGGAGCAATGGTTGCATAAATTAACTGCAGTTAAACACATTAAGCTTCCCCTCCTTATCATCCCTTTATGAGGCAAAGTGACAGCCGGGCCTTTCATTTCCTCGGCAAACTCCGGGGTGTTCCAGTGCTCTGATTGCTGGGAGATTCTCCCTCCCATTTAAATGAGGTGACTGAAAGACAAAAAAAAGGCAAAAAATCCACACATCTTCCTGCTCATCTCCTCTGTCAGCCCTTGAACCCTCAAGATGCACAGGCAGCTCTTTGCAGTGCCCAGAAGGAGAAGAGTAAACCTGGGATTTGTGACAGGAAGGCAATAACTCACATCCAGAATCATAGAATCATAGAATCATAGAATCATAGGATCATAGGATCATATAATCAGCTGGGTTGGAAGGGACCTCTGAGATCATCAAGTCCAACTCTTGATCCAACCCCGCTGTGGTTCCCAGCCCATGGCACTGATGCCACATCCAGTCTGTCCTTAAACACCTCCAGGGATGGAGAATCCACCCCTTCCCTGGGCAGCCCATTCCAATGGCTGAGCACCCTCTCTGGAAAGAAATTCTTTCTAATCTCCAACCTAAACCTCCCCTGGCACAGCTGAAGACCCAGCCCTCTTGTCTTGCTGAGAGTTGCCTGGGAAAAGAGACCAACCCCCCCTGGCTCCCCCCTCCTGGCAGGGAGTTGCAGAGAGTGAGGAGGTCTCCCCTGAGCCTCCTCCTCTCCAGGCTGAGCCCCCCCAGCTCCCTCAGCCTCTCCTCACAGCACTTGTGCTCCAGTCCCTTCCCCAGCCTTGTTGCTCTTCTCTGGACCTGCTCCAGCCCCTCCATGTCCTTCCTGAGCTGAGGGGCCAGAGCTGGACACAGTCCAGGCTCAAACTACAGCTCTGAAGTGAGAATAGTGGGGCTGCTTTTGGCTCCATGTAACAAAGACCACGGCGTGTGGATGGTAATTTATTCATTAAAAGCTATTAGGCTGTAATCTGTCCTCACAGAGGATAACTTGGCTCCTCTTATCTTCGGCGTGGGCAGAGCAGGATTGGGGCTGGGAGGTTTCTGTACCAAAGCAGATATGAGGCTCTCGACACAGCCAGGGGCAAGGGGACAACAGTTCAGGTCACTGTGCACGTCATCCAGCCCTGCTCTCTAAGATTCAGTCTGTTGGTTCGACTGTTTGTCTGCCAGAATGCTGGGAGTGACTCTCCTCCCCCACGGAGCAGAATTCCCACGAGGGAGGAGGAATTCTCACCTTCACTTAGTGACCTCTCCTCAATCCAAGGCTACAAGTAGAGCCAACTCACTCTCTTCTTGGCTAGAAAGCTCAGAGTGAACTGACTTTGAGATGAAAGCCCCCACCCCAGGGATCACCTGTGTGGGAAAAATCCCTCTTTTAAATGTAGAAAGACGGCACAAACTCAGGGAACAAAGAAACAAGGAAGAATTTATTCAGTGCACCAGGTCTTTCTCTCACCGAATTTCCAGGGAAAAAGACCCTTTGGGTTTAAATTCCACACATTTTATACTTTCACAATATCCCACCCTTTTTCAGATAATCTTAATATATTCATTTTTGCCTAAAAAAGGTTTCTTTTCTCTGAAAAGGGACTTTCCCTTTATTCCAATTGGCTGTGAGCCATCCCCTGTCGAAGATGACGGATCTGCCCTTGTTCTTAACCCAAAGAGAAAAGGAACCTCGTGTACAACGTGGCCCCAAAAGATTTTAATTTTTAGGAACTTTCGCATTGCCCTTATCCGGCCGAAAAGGACCCTGATACCCAAGTTCAGTCCGTGGAACTTGGATATCTCACAACATGCCTATATATATATATATATAAAAGTATTTTTATTTCTCATAATATAAAAACTGTATTTTTATTTCTCATAATATAAAAACCATATTTTTATTTCTCCCATCACTGCCTTGTTTAAATTCCCTGATAACAGGCTGATGTCTTTCACCAGTGGATTAGGTGAGCTCCAAGCTGGCTGCGAGTTTCCTTGGATCCCTGTGTCCGGGATGCTCCTTCCACAACCAGCCCTTGCACCTGCCAGTCAGGGACAGGTGATTTAGGAGCTTGCACTCAGCCAAAGATAAACCCCCCAGTGTCTCTCTGCGTTTGTGCAGCGCTGGCAACGAGCTTTGTGAGTGTTTCCCAGGAGGTTCAAGCTGTTGATCTGGTTTTAATTCTTCCTCCTTCGGAGAATCCACAGGGATCCTACTTCTGGCTCTGTTTCTTCCTCCTCACCCACCTTCCAGCCCCCAGAATTAATTCGGCGGCTTCACCCCCCCTCCCAGAACATCCCCCAGCTCCGTAGCCAGTTTAGTCTGACAAACCATCGAGACGAAACCATTCAAATGCAAAAAGCCAAACAACAAATCAGAGCAACATCAGCCTTGGGAGTACCAGTCCAGGGGGGTCTCCTGTGAAACGGGCTCCCAGGAGGCCCTGCTGGGATGCCGAGATAATTAATTATCAGTGTGACATGTGGAAAGTCCAAGGGAAGGGTTTTGCTGATTCACGAGGGATTCCCAAGAGCGAGAGACTGTGGGAGAGAAGTTTTAGCTCCTTCTTTTTCGGATGGGACAAAAGGGATGAGCAACTGCCGCGCACCTGATTTTTTTTGGAGCTCGGGGCACAGCGTTTCTTGCAGGTATCAGCCCTGGCTCCCTGTTAACATTCCCTCCCCCAGCACAAAGCAGCTGCTTGCTGGGTTCTGCTGAGCGTGTTTATGGTGTGTTCTGCCCACCCGGGGACCAGGGGCGGTGGGAGCTCTGAAAGGCCGGGTTAATGTGAGCAATAACAGCAATTGGCAGCGAAATGCCTGTTTTATCTTATTAACTGTGCAGCAACCTGCGTGGAGATAATTGCCCTTCCCAGCTGTGCTTAACCCATGGCTGCTTTGTCCTTTTGGTAATGAAGGATATCTCAGAAGGTTTTGTTTCCATTGCTCCGGGTTAATTCCCTGCCGTCCTTAAACCCCCCCAGCCAAAACAAACCAGGACTTAAAAAAATTCCACCTCGATTTGGGACGACTTTGTCCATCCCCCGAGGCAGCTGGTTGGATGTGTGTGCTGGAGGCTTTGCCGGGTCTCACAACAGCAATTGCTTTAATTGCCCTCCTAAACACTCTCAGCTGCCAGAAGTTTCTGGTGAATCTCACCCAGAGCTTCACTGCTCTGCTGCAGGTGAAGGTTTTTGGTCCTTCTGATGGGCAGGGAAGGATGGGGCAGTGCCCCCCTGGATCTCTGCACAGACCCACTGTGTGGGGTGGGAAAACAAAGTGTTGGCATTTGCAGTTGAGCCAGTGTTAAAAAAAATACAATAATAAAGCACAGTGTCATTCCAAAAAGGTTATTTTAAGGCAGTTTGGTTGCTGGAGAAAAAAGCAACAAGTTCCTGACTGGGTATAGGAGATCCCAATGTGTTCTGCTGCTGGGTATTGCCCTTTTTCAGTTTGGGCTGCAGAAAGTTGGGATAAGGATTTCCAGTGGTAAAATTAGGGATTTCCAGTGCTCTGGGCCAATTTATGATTTTCCTGAAGTTTTCCTAAGAAAACCATCACAGCCTGAGCTCTGATTCCTGGGCTTTCCTCAGCCTCACAACGGAGAAATAAGGAGAAGTTTTGCCTTATGTATGTTAAAAAACCCAACCTTCTTCTTGCAGGTCATCGTGGGAAGTATATTTGAAGTTATTTGGGCTGCAGTGAAACCAGGAACCTCGTTTGGCATCAGTGTATTGAGGGCACTTCGACTGCTGAGGATTTTCAAAGTAACAAAGTAAGTCCAGCTCCCTTTTCACTCTCCCAGCAGCCTTCTAGCACCACGTGAAACCTGGATTACCAACCCCACAGCAAGGAGGAGTGGTTTTGTTGATATTTTTATTTATTGTTATAAATTTATATTTATAAACAATAAATAAATAAATAAACAACCAGAAGCTGGAGGGGAAAAAAAACCAAAACAATGCCCCAAACCCCCGTTTTTGCTGGCACAAAACCCCTGTCTGTCCTGACATCCCATTAGGTTGGTCCTGATGGGAGCAGAAGAGAACTGCAGATGCAGAATTGCCCTTTTCCTCAGCTGGGCAATGGGGGTTTCTGGCAGCTGGAAATTTTGGGAGTTCCTGAGCCTGCATTTGCATCCACAAAGATTTTTAACAGCCCTTTTCCCCCCCTCCCAGCCTCGTGTAGAGGCTTTTCTGCCCTTGGGCAGAGAGTTCCACAGTGTAATGATGGGCTGCAGGAAAATATCCCTTTTTTGCTTTGTTTCTAAGCTTGTTTAGAACAAACCCCTCATTATGTTACCCCTTAGCTCTTGTGGTAAAATACACAAATTCCTTATTGACTTTCTAAGTCCCATCAGCTGCTCACTGTCCTTATCTGCTGCTCCTGAAGGATTTGGGAACTGGAAAACCAAATACCCTGGGTATTGCTGGCTGCTAAATCCTGGTGCCTGAGCCCCTGTGTTGACACAAATAGGCAGAGTTTTGCTGCTGCCTGTGCTGTGTCTGCTCTGGGCACGTCTGGGAGGTTGAATTTTCACTGGAGTGGTGTTGCCACAGCTTTTCCCTTGTTTTCGTGCTCCTGCCTCACGTTAATGTGCTCTGGCATCAGCAAACAGCTCCTGTGCCATTTAGAAACCCATCTAGAGCCATTTCTGCAGGCTTTCCAAGCCCTGGTGTGCAAATTGATGACACATTTAGGTGCCCCTGCTGTTGTTTTCCACCTTATTTTTTTTCCACCGTTGCCTCCTCGGCTCTCCCTTCTTTCCATCACTCCCTTAACGCTCCTTGGCTTGAAGTAACAGGAGGAGGAATAAGAACTCCTGCCAAAAACACCCCTGGTGCACAACTGCCTGAAATAAATAAGGCCCAGGTGATGGCACTGGAACAAACCAATCACTGGAAGTCACCAGGTGCTTTGGCAGCTGTTTGAGGGCCCAGGTTTTGTTGGCTCTGGGGGGTTTGCTGGTTTGTACCTGTTAAGGATTGTGCAGATCCCAGATTTGTGTGTGATGCAGTGTCAGCTGTTGCACTCCGGGAAAAAGGGGCTGGAAACATTAAGTTCTGTGATTGTCTGGTAAAATAGGGGGGTACCTGCACCAAAAGTGTCACTGTAGTTTGCCTTTGCACTAATCTTATGTATGGGAAGCTCCTGGTTTTGTAGGAAATTCAGAGCCATGAATCATCAGCAGATAATTTTATCCCCAGCTACTGAGATTTGCTGTGTCTGATTGTGTGTTGTGCTTTTTCAAAATTCTGGCCATTTTTGGAAGGTAAAATTTTATTTTTTTTTTGTGAGTTTTGACTATTCCTTTTAGCCAGCAGGATCAAGGGATGAATCACAAGAAATGTTTAGGTTGAAAAAGACCTTTAAGACCCTCAAAAGCATTGAATTCAACTGTTCCCCCAGCACTGCCAAGGCCACCACTAATCCCTGTCCCCAAGGGCCACATCCACACAGCTTTTAAGTCCCTGCAGGGATGGTGACTCCCCCACTGCCCTGGGCAGCTGTGCCAGGCCTGGACAAGCCTTTCAGCAAAGAAATTTTCCCTGGTATCCACCCTAACCCTCCCCTGGCACAGTTTGAGGCTGTTCCCTCTTGTCCTACTGCTCGTTCCTTGGGAGAAGAGATTTAACTTAACAAAGCCCAGGGCTCCTCCCCCTTTCTCAGGACATCAGTGACACTGTCACCCCCCTGATCCTGATGTTCCCTTGACCTGATTATGTGGAATTTTCACCTGACCCGACAGGAATGTGCTCGTTGTGTGACCAGCAGCCACGTCCCTGTGGCTCCCACGGGATGATCCCGCATTATCCCGGCGTTGGAGCTGCACAGCTCAGTCCTCTCATGACTCATGAGAGCCACCAAAGTGCTGCCACCAGGCACAGATTCTGCCCACACTCTCTCATTGCAGCCTTTGCTGTGAGAACACCCTGACCCTCAGGAGTTTCCTGTCTCCTTTTTCCATCTCTTCCATAGGAATTTCTCTCTGCAACTCCCTGCTCTGGTTTATTTTCCTTCCACGTTCAGCAGAAGCCAATTGCAGTCCCAGAATCCCAGAATATTCTCATTTAGAAGGGACCCCCAAGGATCATTGAGTCCAGCTCTTAAGTGAATGGCCCAAACAGGGGATTGAACCTGACCTTGGTGTTCTTAGAACCAAGTTTGAACCAACTGAGCTAAACTCAATCCTCCTGCTTTGGATAATCAGTGGGATGAGACCTTTTCATTCCCACATGCCAAATCAGTGTGACCATGGACAGCAGATCCTGCTTTGAATTATCAATGGGATGAGACCTTTTCAATCCCAGTCTTAAATCACAGTGACCATGGACAGCAAGAGTTAAAAAGTGAAATTCCAGCCAGCCTGAAAGGTGCCAGCAGGATCCACCAGGAGGGGATAGACTGAGAGGGGCTAAAATTCAGCAGGGAGAACAAGGGCAAACCAGCTTCATGTGCTTGTCTTTGCCCTGGCAGAGCTGAACAGGGACTGGCATTGCAGAAATGCAGCTCCTCAGAATATCCTGGTGCTCTGGGTCAGGGTTTGGTGCTGAGCTATTCCAGGACAAGGCAGAGCCTCCAGCTCCCATGGATTTTGGGTCCAGTTGTGCTCCCTGTGAGGTGTGAAGCCCTTGGATGAGGCAGGTTTGGTCTGAAACTGTTGTGTCCAGCAGGGGAGAGCTGTGGGAGCAGCAAACCCTCCCTCTCCAAGGAGAGCAGCCCAGCCCCTTTTGCTTTGGGGCTGACCCTGGGCAGGTTTGGTTGCAACATTTCCACTGGAGATACTCTCCTGAGAGACCAGAGTTTATCCTGAAACCTCTGTCACTGTATTATGGAAGTAAATTTTCTTGGAATGGGAGTGTAAGATCCTACTTCTCCTGGGATGGACGTGGTTGCATCACCCCCAGCACAGAGGAACAGGGGGTGGTTCAGTCCTCCCAGCTACACCTGGGGGAAGGAAGAGGGGAAAACAAAGACAAAGGAAAGGGGATGGTGACTCCAGCTCTTAGCTTCTCTCCTTATCAGCAGATCTGACAAATCCAGGGGCTTCCTTCTGCTGGGGACCCACAGCCACACTGCAGGAATGAGCTCAGGGTGTGGAGCCATCCCCAAACTGCAGCAGGAGGACACTCAGGGCAGGCATTCAGCTCTGCAGGGCAGCTCCCAGTGCCAGGCAGTGGAAATGAGAGAAGCCAATGGAGAAAAAGAGGGAAAAATTCCTCCCCCACGGCCTCAGACTCCCAACTTTGAGCAGAGGACACGTGAAATGGCTCCAAATCACTCCTTTCCCGCTGCCTGTTCCGATCCCATTGTTCCACAAGAATCTGGGTCCAAAAGGAGCTCATCAAAGAGCTGCCCAGCTCTTTCTGCATTTCCTGACTCATTAGTTTTCCTGATATAACCCTCCCTGCCTGTTCTCAGCAGGGCAATAAAGCCAGGAAAGAGACCCTTCCCAGCACTGCCATCTCTCCACATTCCTGCCTGTGGCTGTGCCAGGAGCTGCTTCTGGGCACAGGGGAGGCAAAACCAAACCATCTTCTGTATCTGGCCAGATGTGACTTGGATGTGTCAGTCAGGATTCAGGCTGAGCCTGAATTCCCTCTTGCCACGTTGGAATTATCGTCCTGGATTTGTTCTCTCCAAGGCTCTGTCCTGGACACCTGAATTTCCCCACACCAAAGGCATGGCTGGGCACTGATGGGGGTGTGAATCTCCTACAGGAACGTTTAAACATGTGGGAATTTAAATCCACTGGTTGATACTGGGTTGGAAGGACACACCACAGAGATGTCCTGGTGGGAATGAGGTGTTTATTCCTGATTTGTGTGTTAAGGAGAGCTGGATTCACTGTTCCCACCTTCAGTGTCACCTTCATGATGTCGATACACTTTTGACACCCCTGCTGATTCGGGGCATTTTAGTTCTCATCTGGCTGCTGTGCTGGATGAGAAGATGCCAGAAGGTCAAAATCTATCCCAGGAAAGGGGGTAGAGGAGGAACTAATCCAAACATTCACTGCACACAACTCAGTGTGGGTGCACACACCCCAAGTGACCACCTCTGCCCTCAGGATGCTCCAAGAGATTTTCCACTCCCTGAGCCGTGTTTTCCAACAGCAGAAGGGAGCTTAAAGAGGCTGATATTCCTTGTCATTCTTCTCCTGTTTTATAATAAGAAAATCATAGAGTCAGGTTGGAAAAGACCTTCAAGATCATCAAGCCCAGCTGTTGGCCAGCACTGCCAAGGCCACCACTGGCCCACGTCCCCAAGTGCCACATCCACAGGGCTTTAAAATCCCTGCAGGGATGGGCACTCCACCACTGCCCTGGGCAGCTGTTCCAATGCCTGACCACCCTTTCCAGGAAGGAATGTTGCCTTAATATCCAACCTAAACCTCCCCTGGGCCACTTGAGGCCATTTCCTCTCGTCCTATCGCTCGGGAGATAATTCATATTAGTTTCTCACCAAAGGCTCTTCCCCCACTCACGTTCTCTCTTGGCTGCTCTGATCTCCACCACAGGTACTGGAATTCCCTGAGGAATCTGGTGGTCTCTTTGCTGAACTCCATGAAGTCCATCATCAGTTTGCTTTTCCTGCTGTTCCTGTTCATCGTGGTCTTTGCTCTGCTGGGGATGCAGCTCTTTGGAGGACAGTAAGTCTGATTATTCATCCTGGGGCTGCAGGGCTGGAAGGGTCACATCCTGCTGCACTCTCAGTCTTCCTGGGCTGCTGAGAAGTTTATAGGAAAATAGTTCCTGTTCCAGTGTTTTACCTGGAGCTGAACTCTTCCCTAAGAAAGAACAACCCTAATTCAAAGCCCCCTTTGTCATCCCACAGTCCCCACATACCCCCATAAAGAAATAGGCCTGGGGAAGGCATCACTTTATATTAAGGAAAAGGCAAATCCTTTCCCCAATATCCAGGGTGACAATGTATTTATTCACTTGGAATATTTTTCTGCTGGAAAACACGGTGCTGTTGAATCTGATTATTCTCATTAGAAATGCCACTTGTGGTGAATTTTGCAGCACGAAATATCACAATATTATCATTTAAACCCCAGCATCGGTTCTGAAACGAAATAACACGGTTTTATTTGGTCTTTTTTTTTTTTTCCCCCCTCAGTCAATTGCTATTATATCTTTAAAATATTAAAAAGAAATTATCTACTAAGAGGGTAATTTCAATTTGGGCTTTCGCACCGGAGGACGAAAACTTCTTGGAATGGGTTGCTCGGCAAAAACCATTTGAGATTTGGATTGTTCATTTTAATTGTGGCTGCAAACGAATTTCGAAGCATCCGAATTTTCTCTGGGAATGAGATTGAGTTCCTGCTAATGGTCCTGTTGAGCACCTTCTGAGAGACACCGTGTTCCCTGCTGTGCTTGCCTGGGCTGTTATTGCCAGGTGGAACAAATGCTGCTCCCTGACTGGGTTTCTGGAGCATTCCAGGGGATTAGGAGATGCCTGGGAGCTGCTTGGCCCTCACTACTCCGCTTTGGATCTCTCCTTTCTCTCCAGGTTCAACTTCCAAGACGAAACTCCGACCACGAATTTCGACACCTTCCCCGCCGCCATCCTCACCGTGTTCCAGGTAAAGCCACACCTTGGCCTGGGGCAGGGTTAGAAGAGGAATTCCTGGGCATCTCCCCTTGCTTATGGAAGGCAAAGAGGTCCTCAAAAATCTGTGGGGTTTAGGAAAGAAGTCCTTCCTTTTCACGTGTTTTGCTTCGCTGCTCGATCAACACATCATTAAAAAAATCAAATTAAAAATCGACGCCGTGGAATTAAAGAAAAGTAGAACAAAAGATTTTTTTGCTAGGAAGAAAAAAAAAATTGATAAAATAGGTATTTCTGTGCTGTTCTTAAAGTCTGTGTGTGCCCAGGCTGTTGCCTCCCAGCCCTGGGATGGCAGCTCTGGCTCGTGGATCCTGGAATGAGCCAGTGCTTGACCTGCTGCACTTTTGCCATAATTTAATGAGCAGAGAGGCCTGAGGGAGCTGCAGGCAGCAGGGAAATAATGCAGCTTTTGGCCCAGTAATAACTCCAGAGAAGTTAATGCTGGGTGAGAATTGCCTTCCATGAGAGAGGCACCGGCCTCGGGCGGGTTCGGGAGAAGGCAGGAGGGACTCACAGCTCTGGGAGATGCTGGGATTGAAAAGCTTCATTTTGCAGCTGTTTTCTTCGTTTCTTTTTTAAATACAATTTTTGTATTTAATTTTGCATTTTTAAAATACAATTTTTGTATTTAATTTTGCATTTTTTAAATACAATTTTTGTATTTAAAGAAAAAACAATTTTTTAAAAACACAATTGTTTTTTAAAAACAATCACTTCGAGTGTTTCAGTAAAAGCTGGGGCTGCTGCTCCATGTGCAGGGGACCCTCCCAGGTCTGTGGAACCCACCCAGCATTTGTAACCTCGTCCCACCCAAATTCCTGGGGTGGGCTGGAGCTGAGGCTTCGCCCCTGAGCCCAACTTTGACACAGCTCAGCGAATTTTAACTGAGGTATTTTGTATTTCAGTGGCATGGCCCAAAAAGGGCAAAAAAAGGGGGGGATTGATGCCAATTTTTGGATTAACACAAAGAATCTAAAAGCAAACGTGCCCTGTGAGCTCTTCCCGTGGGTGTTGCTTCTCCCCCAGCTGGGAAGAAGGTTCTGCACTGACTTCCAAGATATTGCAAATTAATATTTGCCCAGGATTTGAGTGCTCACCCAAGAAAGGGCTTAAAGATACAAAAATGTATTGCCAGCGAGCAGGAACTGAGCCCCAGTCAGGCTCGGGAATGTTGATGGGATTTTGCTTTGGGAATATGGTTGTCCATGAGAATATTTAGCTGAAATATTTCCTTGAGATAAAATACCCTGTGGGGTGAAGGAAAATGCTGTTGGGTTTAGGACATTTGTCCAGAATGTCAGAGCTGTGAATTAAAACCAGCAAAACCCATCAGCACTGGATTAACTGAGTGCAGCCTCCCACAGGCATTTGGATAATAATAATAATAATAATAATAATAGCAGTAACAATAATATAATTTTACATTACTTGATTATTATAATTATATACCACATATGATATATTAATAATTATTATATAATATATATCAGGTGCAATATATATTAATAACCATTGCATTAATTATATATTATTATGATGATATGATAACAAAACAATAATTTTATTTTTATATTGATTATTATAATGATAATTATATTAGGTTACATAGAATTATATTACTATATTAATAGTTATTATATAATATACAATTCCATATTATATATAATAATAATAATAGTATTTATTATGTCAATTATATATTATTATATTATAACAATAGCATTAGTAATCATATAATAAATATAATATTATTATTTATCTTAAATATCATAATATATTGAAATATAATATATAATAATAAAATAATATATCCAGAGCATTTTGCATAATCTGCTGCTGGTATCCTCCTCCTCTCTGAACTACCATAATTTGGGTCTGTTTGGGCTTTGGATTCCTTTTTAAACCTCCCCTCCACGTGCATCTCGGACTCGGATCCACACACTCGTGCTGTGGCCTTTTCATTTCCCTTTTTTTTCCCCTACCAAACACGAAGACAACTTCCTATTTAGGAATTTGAGCTTCACACCCCACGGGATTGTTGGAATGTGCTAAAAGTAGCTGTTGTTTGACTGTGCCACAGCAGGAAAGGGAAGGGCTGCTCTGCCCAAAATGTTGCTGTGCCTCAGTCAGTGCTGAGCAGGACTGGCAGGAATGTTACACTCAGTGATGAGCAAGTGAGACTGGTACAAAATTAGCATTAAGGCTTGCTTGAGACTGAGGTGTTTGCATGTGTTCTGATTAATTTTCCTATTATTGATGTATTTGTTAGTTAGTCCCAGGTCAATGTTCTGCTCTGCAGGGCTGGGCTGTGGCTCCTCCTGTCCCTGCACAAGGACCCAGGAGGAGCAGAGTCCCTCCAACTTCCCTCATCTGTCCTCTCTCATACAGTGGTTGTTGCTTCTCCTTAGGGGTTGGGTTTTTTTTGTGCTTTGTGGCCATCTGGGTCAAACTTGGGAAAACTGGAGAAGAACCTGTATTGTGCCAGCCCTGCAGTGGTGGTGCCCAGTGCCTGGCAGTGGGAGTGGTGCCCATCCCTGTCCCAGCTGAGCAGGGCTCTCCACACCCCTGAGGATCAGGACAGGGGTGGGAGAGGTGACAAAGCTGCTCCTGTCACTCTGTGGGTACAGTGTGTGTGGGGTGGGGGGAGCTGAGCGACCCAAACCCTTCTGTAGGAAGGGGATGAGTGGAGCTGGAGCTGACAGAGCTCCCACTCAGGGCATTGGAGCTCAAGAGTTTTCTTAGGATTGTGGGAAGTGCCAGGAAAGGTGCTGTTGAAACCCAGTGTCTCTGCATGACTTGAAAATGGAGAGTGGGGAGGAATTGTGCCAGGAGTGATGTGTTGGAATGTGGCTTTTGCTGCCTCTGCCTGGGGGAGAGAGAGCCCTTGGGCAGAGCTGGGCAGCAGGCAGGGAACCCAGAGGGGCAGGATCATCCAGTCCAGCTCCTGGCCCTGCACAGACACCCCAACAATCCCACCCTGCCCCTCAGAGCGTTGTCCAAACCCTCCTGGAGCTCTGGCAGCCTTGGGGCTGTGCCCACTGCCCTGGGGAGCCTGGGCAGTGCCAACCACCCTCTGGGGGAAGAATCTTTTCCTGGGATCCAACCTGACCCTGCCCTGACACAGCTCCAGCCATTCCCTGGGTCCTGTCCCTGCTCACAGGGATTGGAGCTGCCCCTCTGCTTCCCCACTTTACAAAGCCCTGGAATTCAGGATTATCCAGCTGAAAATTCCCTTGTTGCTGCTTGTATCCACCCCCCCTTGCCTGTCCATGTGCACCTTGGAGAAAAGTTTGGCACCCTCTTGTCTGTATCATTCCTGGAATGGTAAAACTGAAATTCCAGGAGACTTTGCTGCTCCAACATCCAGGAGCCTCCTGTGCTGCACTGAGAGAGGTGACTGATCTCCACCCTTTGAGGTTTGATTCTTTTCTTCATCTCTTCCAGAGAGAGAGAGGTTTGCCTTATTCCATTGGGTTGGTTTTGGTACTGGAGGTGTTTTTTGCACCTTTTTTTTGTTTGTTTTTAACGTTTTACTCTTACTGCTGCTAATTGGCCTCCAGATCCAAACTTAAAACGCCAAAGGTGGTATTTTCTGTAGCTTCAAGTCCTGAAAAACTTCAGCTAGAAATTGAAGTCTCCAGCCCTTTGTTTCATCATGGGTGATAAATTTTCCCATCAAAAGCTTCACAGCTTATTTGCCTGCGATATGTGAAGCCAAAGGAAACAGAACTTGTTCTTCCACAGTTTTAGGGCTATAAAGGCATAATAAAAATAAATGTGGTAACAGTAGACACAACACCTCTGAATATGAGCCCTCAGAGTCAGCAGTTCTGTTGGGTAGGAAGGTATTTTTATCAGCAGAGGATGTCACAGAAACTCAACACCCCACACCCAAAAGTGTCCATCTCTTGTGGGTACAGAAGGCCCAAACACATCACTGCAAAACATTATCTGTGTAATTAAATTAGACCTTTAGAAAGAGTAGATCCAGAGGTTTCCTTTGAAATTCCTTTATAAAAACAGTGAGCATATTATTTAATGCTCATGCCACCATCCCACAGCACAGCTCCTGAAGGCTGCTCACAGCTCATGGACACACAGAAATAATGATGGGAAGCTCTCCTCTGGGTCTTGTTTGCCATTGCAGAGGGATTTTCTTCTGCCAGGAGTCACTCTGGGTTGTGCAAAAATACCACTGTTCCCCACATGAAGGGATCTGCCCACCAAGGTCTCATGGACTAATTTAATCTTTTGTTCCCTGTTTCCAGATTTCGCAGAGTTTGTTTTCCTGGGGCTGTTCCTTACTGAGATGTCTTTGAAGATGTATGGACTGGGGCCAAGGAACTACTTCCACTCTTCATTCAACTGCTTTGACTTTGGGGTGAGTTAAGATGAATCACAGAAGACTTTGGGTTGGAAGGGAACTTAAAATCATCCCTTCCACCAGCCCAGGTTGCTCCAAGCCCCGTCCAACCTGGCCTGGGACACTTCCAGGGATGGGGCAGCAACAGCTTCTCTGGGCAACCTGTGCCAGGGCCTCCTCACCCTCCCAGGGAAGAATTCCTTCCCTCATCTAGTCTAAGCATGAAACCATTCCCTCTTGTCCTGGCACTCCATGTCCTTGAAAAAAGTCCCTGTGTGGCTCTCCTGTCATCCAGCAGGATGGGCATTCCAGGGTGGGTGTGGCAATCCATGGGAAATGGTTCTGGGAGTGTTTCTTCTGCAGGGAGCAATGGTTGCATAAATTAACTGCAGTTAAACACATTAAGCTTCCCCTCCTTATCATCCCTTTATGAGGCAAAGTGACAGCCGGGCCTTTCATTTCCTCGGCAAACTCCGGGGTGTTCCAGTGCTCTGATTGCTGGGAGATTCTCCCTCCCATTTAAATGAGGTGACTGAAAGACAAAAAAAAGGCAAAAAATCCACACATCTTCCTGCTCATCTCCTCTGTCAGCCCTTGAACCCTCAAGATGCACAGGCAGCTCTTTGCAGTGCCCAGAAGGAGAAGAGTAAACCTGGGATTTGTGACAGGAAGGCAATAACTCACATCCAGAATCATAGAATCATAGAATCATAGAATCATAGGATCATAGGATCATATAATCAGCTGGGTTGGAAGGGACCTCTGAGATCATCAAGTCCAACTCTTGATCCAACCCCGCTGTGGTTCCCAGCCCATGGCACTGATGCCACATCCAGTCTGTCCTTAAACACCTCCAGGGATGGAGAATCCACCCCTTCCCTGGGCAGCCCATTCCAATGGCTGAGCACCCTCTCTGGAAAGAAATTCTTTCTAATCTCCAACCTAAACCTCCCCTGGCACAGCTGAAGACCCAGCCCTCTTGTCTTGCTGAGAGTTGCCTGGGAAAAGAGACCAACCCCCCCTGGCTCCCCCCTCCTGGCAGGGAGTTGCAGAGAGTGAGGAGGTCTCCCCTGAGCCTCCTCCTCTCCAGGCTGAGCCCCCCCAGCTCCCTCAGCCTCTCCTCACAGCACTTGTGCTCCAGTCCCTTCCCCAGCCTTGTTGCTCTTCTCTGGACCTGCTCCAGCCCCTCCATGTCCTTCCTGAGCTGAGGGGCCAGAGCTGGACACAGTCCAGGCTCAAACTACAGCTCTGAAGTGAGAATAGTGGGGCTGCTTTTGGCTCCATGTAACAAAGACCACGGCGTGTGGATGGTAATTTATTCATTAAAAGCTATTAGGCTGTAATCTGTCCTCACAGAGGATAACTTGGCTCCTCTTATCTTCGGCGTGGGCAGAGCAGGATTGGGGCTGGGAGGTTTCTGTACCAAAGCAGATATGAGGCTCTCGACACAGCCAGGGGCAAGGGGACAACAGTTCAGGTCACTGTGCACGTCATCCAGCCCTGCTCTCTAAGATTCAGTCTGTTGGTTCGACTGTTTGTCTGCCAGAATGCTGGGAGTGACTCTCCTCCCCCACGGAGCAGAATTCCCACGAGGGAGGAGGAATTCTCACCTTCACTTAGTGACCTCTCCTCAATCCAAGGCTACAAGTAGAGCCAACTCACTCTCTTCTTGGCTAGAAAGCTCAGAGTGAACTGACTTTGAGATGAAAGCCCCCACCCCAGGGATCACCTGTGTGGGAAAAATCCCTCTTTTAAATGTAGAAAGACGGCACAAACTCAGGGAACAAAGAAACAAGGAAGAATTTATTCAGTGCACCAGGTCTTTCTCTCACCGAATTTCCAGGGAAAAAGACCCTTTGGGTTTAAATTCCACACATTTTATACTTTCACAATATCCCACCCTTTTTCAGATAATCTTAATATATTCATTTTTGCCTAAAAAAGGTTTCTTTTCTCTGAAAAGGGACTTTCCCTTTATTCCAATTGGCTGTGAGCCATCCCCTGTCGAAGATGACGGATCTGCCCTTGTTCTTAACCCAAAGAGAAAAGGAACCTCGTGTACAACGTGGCCCCAAAAGATTTTAATTTTTAGGAACTTTCGCATTGCCCTTATCCGGCCGAAAAGGACCCTGATACCCAAGTTCAGTCCGTGGAACTTGGATATCTCACAACATGCCTATATATATATATATATAAAAGTATTTTTATTTCTCATAATATAAAAACTGTATTTTTATTTCTCATAATATAAAAACCATATTTTTATTTCTCCCATCACTGCCTTGTTTAAATTCCCTGATAACAGGCTGATGTCTTTCACCAGTGGATTAGGTGAGCTCCAAGCTGGCTGCGAGTTTCCTTGGATCCCTGTGTCCGGGATGCTCCTTCCACAACCAGCCCTTGCACCTGCCAGTCAGGGACAGGTGATTTAGGAGCTTGCACTCAGCCAAAGATAAACCCCCCAGTGTCTCTCTGCGTTTGTGCAGCGCTGGCAACGAGCTTTGTGAGTGTTTCCCAGGAGGTTCAAGCTGTTGATCTGGTTTTAATTCTTCCTCCTTCGGAGAATCCACAGGGATCCTACTTCTGGCTCTGTTTCTTCCTCCTCACCCACCTTCCAGCCCCCAGAATTAATTCGGCGGCTTCACCCCCCCTCCCAGAACATCCCCCAGCTCCGTAGCCAGTTTAGTCTGACAAACCATCGAGACGAAACCATTCAAATGCAAAAAGCCAAACAACAAATCAGAGCAACATCAGCCTTGGGAGTACCAGTCCAGGGGGGTCTCCTGTGAAACGGGCTCCCAGGAGGCCCTGCTGGGATGCCGAGATAATTAATTATCAGTGTGACATGTGGAAAGTCCAAGGGAAGGGTTTTGCTGATTCACGAGGGATTCCCAAGAGCGAGAGACTGTGGGAGAGAAGTTTTAGCTCCTTCTTTTTCGGATGGGACAAAAGGGATGAGCAACTGCCGCGCACCTGATTTTTTTTGGAGCTCGGGGCACAGCGTTTCTTGCAGGTATCAGCCCTGGCTCCCTGTTAACATTCCCTCCCCCAGCACAAAGCAGCTGCTTGCTGGGTTCTGCTGAGCGTGTTTATGGTGTGTTCTGCCCACCCGGGGACCAGGGGCGGTGGGAGCTCTGAAAGGCCGGGTTAATGTGAGCAATAACAGCAATTGGCAGCGAAATGCCTGTTTTATCTTATTAACTGTGCAGCAACCTGCGTGGAGATAATTGCCCTTCCCAGCTGTGCTTAACCCATGGCTGCTTTGTCCTTTTGGTAATGAAGGATATCTCAGAAGGTTTTGTTTCCATTGCTCCGGGTTAATTCCCTGCCGTCCTTAAACCCCCCCAGCCAAAACAAACCAGGACTTAAAAAAATTCCACCTCGATTTGGGACGACTTTGTCCATCCCCCGAGGCAGCTGGTTGGATGTGTGTGCTGGAGGCTTTGCCGGGTCTCACAACAGCAATTGCTTTAATTGCCCTCCTAAACACTCTCAGCTGCCAGAAGTTTCTGGTGAATCTCACCCAGAGCTTCACTGCTCTGCTGCAGGTGAAGGTTTTTGGTCCTTCTGATGGGCAGGGAAGGATGGGGCAGTGCCCCCCTGGATCTCTGCACAGACCCACTGTGTGGGGTGGGAAAACAAAGTGTTGGCATTTGCAGTTGAGCCAGTGTTAAAAAAAATACAATAATAAAGCACAGTGTCATTCCAAAAAGGTTATTTTAAGGCAGTTTGGTTGCTGGAGAAAAAAGCAACAAGTTCCTGACTGGGTATAGGAGATCCCAATGTGTTCTGCTGCTGGGTATTGCCCTTTTTCAGTCTGGGCTGCAGAAAGTTGGGATAAGGATTTCCAGTGGTAAAATTAGGGATTTCCAGTGCTCTTGGCCAATTTATGATTTTCCTGAAGTTTTCCTAAGAAAACCATCACAGCCTGAGCTCTGATTCCTGGGCTTTCCTCAGCCTCACAACGGAGAAATAAGGAGAAGTTTTGCCTTATGTATGTTAAAAAACCCAACCTTCTTCTTGCAGGTCATCGTGGGAAGTATATTTGAAGTTATTTGGGCTGCAGTGAAACCAGGAACCTCGTTTGGCATCAGTGTATTGAGGGCACTTCGACTGCTGAGGATTTTCAAAGTAACAAAGTAAGTCCAGCTCCCTTTTCACTCTCCCAGCAGCCTTCTAGCACCACGTGAAATCTGGATTACCAACCCCACAGCAAGGAGGAGTGGTTTTGTTGATATTTTTATTTATTGTTATATATTTATATTTATAAACAATAAATAAATAAATAACCAGAAGCTGGAGGGGGAAAAAAACCCCAAAACAATGCCCCAAACCCCTGTTTTTGCTGGCACAAAACCCCTGTCTGTCCTGACATGCCATTAGGATGCTCCTGATGGGAGCAGAAGAGAATTGCAGATGCAGAATTGCCCTTTTCCTCAGCTGGGCAATGGGGGTTTCTGGCAGCTGGAAATTTTGGGAGTTCCTGAGCCTGTATTTGCATCCACAAAGATTTTTAACAGCCCTTTTCCCCCCCTCCCAGCCTCGTGTAGAGGCTTTTCTGCCCTTGGGCAGAGAGTTCCACAGTGTAATGATGGGCTGCAGGAAAATATCCTTTTTTTGCTTTGTTTCTAAGCTTGTTTAAAACAAAACCCTCATTATGTTACCCCTTAGCTCTTGTGGTAAAATACACAAATTCCTTATTGACTTTCTAAGTCCCATCAGCTGCTCACTGTCCTTATCTGCTGCTCCCGAAGCATTTGGGAACTGGAAAACCAAATACCCTGGGTATTGCTGGCTGCTAAATCCTGGTGCCTGAGCCCCTGTGTTGACACAAATAGGCAGAGTTTTGCTGCTGCCTGTGCTGTGTGTGCTCTGGGCACGTCTGGGAGGTTGAATTTTCACTGGAGTGGTGTTGCCACAGCTTTTCCCTTGTTTTCGTGCTCCTGCCTCACGTTAATGTGCTCTGGCATCAGCAAACAGCTCCTGTGCCATTTAGAAACCCATCTAGAGCCATTTCTGCAGGCTTTCCAAGCCCTGGTGTGCAAATTGATGACACATTTAGGTGCCCCTGCTGTTGTTTTCCACCTTATTTTTTTTCCACGTTGCCTCCTCGGCTCTCTCTTCTTTCCATCACTCCCTTAACGCTCCTTGGCTTGAAGTAACAGGAGGAGGAATAAGAACTCCTGCCAAAAACACCCCTGGTGCACAACTGCCTGAAATAAATAAGGCCCAGGTGATGGCACTGGAACAAACCAATCACTGGAAGTCACCAGGTGCTTTGGCAGCTGTTTGAGGGCCCAGGTTTTGTTGGCTCTGGGGGGTTTGCTGGTTTGTACCTGTTAAGGATTGTGCAGATCCCAGATTTGTGTGTGATGCAGTGTCAGCTGTTGCACTCCGGGAAAAAGGGGCTGGAAACATTAAGTTCTGTGATTGTCTGGTAAAATAGGGGGGTACCTGCACCAAAAGTGTCACTGTAGTTTGCCTTTGCACTAATCTTATGTATGGGAAGCTCCTGGTTTTGTAGGAAATTCAGAGCCATGAATCATCAGCAGATAATTTTATCCCCAGCTACTGAGATTTGCTGTGTCTGATTGTGTGTTGTGCTTTTTCAAAATTCTGGCCATTTTTGGAAGGTAAAATTTTATTTTTTTTTTGTGAGTTTTGACTATTCCTTTTAGCCAGCAGGATCAAGGGATGAATCACAAGAAATGTTTAGGTTGAAAAAGACCTTTAAGACCCTCAAGAGCATTGAATTCAACTGTTCCCCCAGCACTGCCAAGGCCACCACTAATCCCTGTCCCCAAGGGCCACATCCACACAGCTTTTAAGTCCCTGCAGGGATGGTGACTCCCCCACTGCCCTGGGCAGCTGTGCCAGGCCTGGACAAGCCTTTCAGCAAAGAAATTTTCCCTGGTATCCACCCTAACCCTCCCCTGGCACAGTTTGAGGCTGTTCCCTCTTGTCCTACTGCTCGTTCCTTGGGAGAAGAGATTTAACTTAACAAAGCCCAGGGCTCCTCCCCCTTTCTCAGGACATCAGTGACACTGTCACCCCCCTGATCCTGATGTTCCCTTGACCTGATTATGTGGAATTTTCACCTGACCCGACAGGAATGTGCTCGTTGTGTGACCAGCAGCCACGTCCCTGTGGCTCCCACGGGATGATCCCGCATTATCCCGGCGTTGGAGCTGCACAGCTCAGTCCTCTCATGACTCATGAGAGCCACCAAAGTGCTGCCACCAGGCACAGATTCTGCCCACACTCTCTCATTGCAGCCTTTGCTGTGAGAACACCCTGACCCTCAGGAGTTTCCTGTCTCCTTTTTCCATCTCTTCCATAGGAATTTCTCTCTGCAACTCCCTGCTCTGGTTTATTTTCCTTCCACGTTCAGCAGAAGCCAATTGCAGTCCCAGAATCCCAGAATATTCTCATTTAGAAGGGACCCCCAAGGATCATTGAGTCCAGCTCTTAAGTGAATGGCCCAAACAGGGGATTGAACCTGACCTTGGTGTTCTTAGAACCAAGTTTGAACCAACTGAGCTAAACTCAATCCTCCTGCTTTGGATAATCAGTGGGATGAGACCTTTTCATTCCCACATGCCAAATCAGTGTGACCATGGACAGCACATCCTGCTTTGAATTATCAATGGGATGAGACCTTTTCAATCCCAGTCTTAAATCACAGTGACCATGGACAGCAAGAGTTAAAAAGTGAAATTCCAGCCAGCCTGAAAGGTGCCAGCAGGATCCACCAGGAGGGGATACAGATTGAGAGGGGCTAAAATTCAGCAGGGAGAACAAGGGCAAACCAGCTTCATGTGCTTGTCTTTGCCCTGGCAGAGCTGAACAGGGACTGACATTGCAGAAATGCAGCTCCTCAGAATATCCTGGTGCTCTGGGTCAGGGTTTGGTGCTGAGCTATTCCAGGACAAGGCAGAGCCTCCAGCTCCCATGGATTTTGGGTCCAGTTGTGCTCCCTGTGAGGTGTGAAGCCCTTGGATGAGGCAGGTTTGGTCTGAAACTGTTCTGTCCAGCTTGGGAGAGCTGTGGGAGCAGCAAACCCTCCCTCTCCAAGGAGAGCAGCCCAGCCCCTTTTGCTTTGGGACTGACCCTGGGCAGGTTTGGTTGCAACATTTCCACTGGAGACCAGATTTTATCCTGAAACCTCTGTCACTGTATTATGGAAGTAAATTTTCTTGGAATGGGAGTGTAAGATCCTACTTCTCCTGGGATGGACGTGGTTGTATCACCTCCAGCACAGAGGAACAGTCCTCCCAGCTACACCTGGGGGAAGGGAGAGGGGGAAAGCAAAGACAAAGGAAAGGGGATGGTGACTCCAGCTCTTAGCTTCTCTCCTTATCAGCAGATCTGACAAATCCAGGGGCTTCCTTCTGCTGGGGACCCACAGCCACACTGCAGGAATGAGCTCAGGGTGTGGAGCCATCCCCAAACTGCAGCAGGAGGACACTCAGGGCAGGCATTCAGCTCTGCAGGGCAGCTCCCAGTGCCAGGCAGTGGAAATGAGAGAAACCACTGGAGAAAAAGAGGGAAAAATTCCTCCCCCACGGCCTCAGACTCCCAACTTTGAGCAGAGGACACGTGAAATGGCTCCAAATCACTCCTTTCCCGCTGCCTGTTCCGATCCCGTTGTTCCACAAGAATCTGGGTCCAAAAGGAGCTCATCAAAGAGCTGCCCAGCTCTTTCTGCATTTCCTGACTCATTAGTTTTCCTGATATAACCCTCCCTGCCTGTTCTCAGCAGGGCAATAAAGCCAGGAAAGAGACCCTTCCCAGCACTGCCATCTCTCCACATTCCTGCCTGTGGCTGTGCCAGGAGCTGCTTCTGGGCACAGGGGAGGCAAAACCAAACCATCTTCTGTATCTGGCCAGATGTGACTTGGATGTATCAGTCAGGATTCAGGCTGAGCCTGAATTCCCTCTTGCCACGTTGGAATTATCGTCCTGGATTTGTTCTCTCCAAGGCTCTGTCCTGGACACCTGAATTTCCCCACACCAAAGGCATGGCTGGGCACTGATGGGGGTGTGAAACTCCTACAGGAACGTTTAAACATGTGGGAATTTAAATCCACTGGTTGAGACTGGCGTTGGATGGGTTGGAAGGACACACCACAGAGATGTCCTGGTGGGAATGAGGTGTTTATTCCTGATTTGTGTGTTAAGGAGAGCTGGATTCACTGTTCCCACCTTCAGTGTCACCTTCATGATGTCGATACACTTTTGACACCCCTGCTGATTCGGGGCATTTTAGTTCTCATCTGGCTGCTGTGCTGGATGAGAAGATGCCAGAAGGTCAAAATCTATCCCAGGAAAGGGGGTAGAGGAGGAACTAATCCAAACATTCACTGCACACAACTCAGTGTGGGTGCACACACCCCAAGTGACCACCTCTGCCCTCAGGATGCTCCAAGAGATTTTCCACTCCCTGAGCCGTGTTTTCCAACAGCAGAAGGGAGCTTAAAGAGGCTGATATTCCTTGTCATTCTCCTCCTGTTTTATAATAAGAAGATCATAGAGTCAGGTTGGAAAAGACCTTCAAGATCATCAAGCCCAGCTGTTGGCCAGCACTGCCAAGGCCACCACTGGCCCACGTCCCCAAGTGCCACATCCACAGGGCTTTAAAATCCCTGCAGGGATGGGCACTCCACCACTGCCCTGGGCAGCTGTTCCAATGCCTGACCACCCTTTCCAGGAAGGAATGTTGCCTTAATATCCAACCTAAACCTCCCCTGGGCCACTTGAGGCCATTTCCTCTCGTCCTATCGCTCGGGAGATAATTCATATTAGTTTCTCACCAAAGGCTCTTCCCCCACTCACGTTCTCTCTTGGCTGCTCTGATCTCCACCACAGGTACTGGAATTCCCTGAGGAATCTGGTGGTCTCCCTGCTGAACTCCATGAAGTCCATCATCAGTTTGCTTTTCCTGCTGTTCCTGTTCATCGTGGTCTTTGCTCTGCTGGGGATGCAGCTCTTTGGAGGACAGTAAGTCTGATTATTCATCCTGGGGCTGCAGGGCTGGAAGGGTCACATCCTGCTGCACTCTCAGTCTTCCTGGGCTGCTGAGAAATTTATAGGAAAATAGTTCCTGTTCCAGTGTTTTACCTGGAGCTGAACTCTTCCCTAAGAAAGAACAACCCTAATTCAAAGCCCCTTTTGTCATCCCACAGTCCCCACATACCCCCATAAAGAAACAGGCCTGGGGAAGGCATCACTTTTTATTAAGGGAAAGGCAAATCCTTTCCCCAATATCCAGGGTGACAATGTATTTATTCACTTGGAATATTTTTCTGCTGGAAAACACGGTGCTGTTGAATCTGATTACTCTCATTAGAAATGCCACTTGTGGTGAATTTTGCAGCACGAAATATCACAGTATTATCATTTAAACCCCAGCATCGATTCTGAAACGAAATAACACGGTTTTATTTGGTCTTTTTTTTTTTTTCCCCCCTCAGTCAATTGCTATTATATCTTTAAAATATTAAAAAGAAATTATCTACTAAGAGGGTAATTTCAATTTGGGCTTTCGCACCGGAGGACGAAAACCTCTTGGAATGGGTTGCTCGGCAAAAACCATTTGAGATTTGGATTGTTCATTTTAATTGTGGCTGCAAACGAATTTCGAAGCATCCGAATTTTCTCTGGGAATGAGATTGAGTTCCTGCTAATGGTCCTGTTGAGCACCTTCTGAGAGACACCGTGTTCCCTGCTGTGCTTGCCTGGGCTGTTATTGCCAGGTGGAACAAATGCTGCTCCCTGACTGGGTTTCTGGAGCATTCCAGGGGATTAGGAGATGCCTGGGAGCTGCTTGGCCCTCACTGCTCCGCTTTGGATCTCTCCTTTCTCTCCAGGTTCAACTTCCAAGACGAAACTCCGACCACGAATTTCGACACCTTCCCCGCCGCCATCCTCACCGTGTTCCAGGTAAAGCCACACCTTGGCCTGGGGCAGGGTTAGAAGAGGAATTCCTGGGCATCTCCCCTTGCTTATGGAAGGCAAAGAGGTCCTCAAAAATCTGTGGGGTTTAGGAAAGAAGTCCTTCCTTTTCACGTGTTTTGCTTCGCTGCTCGATCAACACATCATTAAAAAAATCAAATTAAAAATCGACGCCGTGGAATTAAAGAAAAGTAGAACAAAAGATTTTTTGCTAGGAAGAAAAAAAAAATTGATAAAATAGGTATTTCTGTGCTGTTCTTAAAGTCTGTGTGTGCCCAGGCTGTTGCCTCCCAGCCCTGGGATGGCAGCTCTGGCTCGTGGATCCTGGAATGAGCCAGTGCTTGACCTGCTGCACTTTTGCCATAATTTAATGAGCAGAGAGGCCTGAGGGAGCTGCAGGCAGCAGGGAAATAATGCAGCTTTTGGCCCAGTAATAACTCCAGAGAAGTTAATGCTGGGTGAGAATTGCCTTCCATGAGAGAGGCACCAGCCTCGGGCGGGTTCGGGAGAAGGCAGGAGGGACTCACAGCTCTGGGAGATGCTGGGATTGAAAAGCTTCATTTTGCAGCTGTTTTCTTCGTTTCTTTTTTAAATACAATTTTTGTATTTAATTTTGCATTTTTAAAATACAATTTTTGTATTTAAATAAAAAAAAAATTAAGCAAAAAAATTGGTTTTTAAAAACAATCGCTTCGGGTGTTTCAGTAAAAGCTGGGGCTGCTGCTCCATGTGCAGGGGACCCTCCCAGGTCTGTGGAACCCGCCCAGCATTTGTAACCTCGTCCCACCCAAATTCCTGGGGTGGGCTGGAGCTGAGGCTTCGCCCCTGAGCCCAACTGTGACACAGCTCAGCGAGGTTTAACTCAGGTATTATGTATTTCAGTGGCATGGCCCAAAAAGGGCAAAAAAAGGGGGGGGATTGATGCCAATTTTTGGATTAACACAAAGAATCTAAAAGCAAATGTGCCCTGTGAGCTCTTCCCGTGGGTGTTGCTTCTCCCCCAGCTGGGAAGAAGGTTCTGCACTGACTTCCAAGATATTGCAAATTAATATTTGCCCAGGATTTGAGTGCTCACCCAAAAAAGGGCTTAAAGATACAAAAAGGTATTGCCAGCGAGCAGGAACTGAGCCCCAGTCAGGCTTGGGAATGTTGATGGGATTTTGCTTTGGGAATATGGTTGTCCATGAGAATATTTAGCTGAAATATTTCCTTGAGATAAAATACCCTGTGGGGTGAAGGAAAATGCTGTTGGGTTTAGGACATTTGTCCAGAATGTCAGAGCTGTGAATTAAAACCAGCAAAACCCATCAGCACTGGATTAACTGAGTGCAGCCTCCCACAGGCATTTGGATAATAATAATAATAATAATAATAATAGCAGTAACAATAATATAATTTTACATTACTTGATTATTATAATTATATACCACATATGATATATTAATAATTATTATATAATATATATCAGGTGCAATATATATATCTAATAACTGTTGCATTAATTATATAGTTATTATATGATAGTATAACAAAACAATAATGTTATTTTTATAGTTGAGTTATTATAATGATTAATTAAATTAGGTACATAAATTATATACAATATTAATGACCTTATAATAATATTACATTCGCATATATTAATAATAAAAAATATTTTATTATGTCATATAATATATTATATTATAACAATAAGCAATAGTAATCATATAATAAATATAATATATTATTATTATTTGTTAAAATATAATAATAATAATAATAATAATAATAATAATAATAATAATAATAATAATAATAATAATAATAATAATATCCCAGAGGCATTTTGATAATCCCTGCTCTTGGTCCATCCTCCTCCTCCTCTGAACTACAAATTTTGGGTCAATGTTTGGGCTTTGGATTCCTTTCTAAAACCTCCCCTTCCACGTGCACATGGGACTGGATCCCAACACACACCGTGCTGTGGCCTTTTCATTTCCCTTTTTTTTCCCCTACCAAACACGAAGACAACTTCCTATTTAGGAATTTGAGCTTCACACCCCACGGGATTGTTGGAATGTGCTAAAAGTAGCTGTTGTTTGACTGTGCCACAGCAGGCAAGGGAAGGGCTGCTCTGCCCAAAATGTTGCTGTGCCTCAGTCAGTGCTGAGCAGGACTGGCAGGAATGTTACACTCAGTGATGAGCAAGTGAGACTGGTACAAAATTAGCATTAAGGCTTGCTTGAGACTGAGGTGTTTGCATGTGTTCTGATTAATTTTCCTATTATTGATGTATTTGTTAGTTAGTCCCAGGTCAATGTTCTGCTCTGCAGGGCTGGGCTGTGGCTCCTCCTGTCCCTGCACAAGGACCCAGGAGGAGCAGAGTCCCTCCAACTTCCCTCATCTGTCCTCTCTCATACAGTGGTTGTTGCTTCTCCTTAGGGGTTGGGTTTTTTTTGTGCTTTGTGGCCATCTGGGTCAAACTTGGGAAAACTGGAGAAGAACCTGTATTGTGCCAGCCCTGCAGTGGTGGTGCCCAGTGCCTGGCAGTGGGAGTGGTGCCCATCCCTGTCCCAGCTGAGCAGGGCTCTCCACACCCCTGAGGATCAGGACAGGGGTGGGAGAGGTGACAAAGCTGCTCCTGTCACTCTGTGGGTACAGTGTGTGTGGGGTGGGGGGAGCTGAGCGACCCAAACCCTTCTGTAGGAAGGGGATGAGTGGAGCTGGAGCTGACAGAGCTCCCACTCAGGGCATTGGAGCTCAAGAGTTTTCTTAGGATTGTGGGAAGTGCCAGGAAAGGTGCTGTTGAAACCCAGTGTCTCTGCATGACTTGAAAATGGAGAGTGGGGAGGAATTGTGCCAGGAGTGATGTGTTGGAATGTGGCTTTTGCTGCCTCTGCCTGGGGGAGAGAGAGCCCTTGGGCAGAGCTGGGCAGCAGGCAGGGAACCCAGAGGGGCAGGATCATCCAGTCCAGCTCCTGGCCCTGCACAGACACCCCAACAATCCCACCCTGCCCCTCAGAGCGTTGTCCAAACCCTCCTGGAGCTCTGGCAGCCTTGGGGCTGTGCCCACTGCCCTGGGGAGCCTGGTCAGTGCCAACCACCCTCTGGGGGAAGAACCTTTTCCCAAAATCCAGCCTAACCCTGCCCTGACACAGCTCCAGCCATTCCCTGGGTCCTGTCCCTGCTCACAGGGATTGGAGCTGCCCCTCTGCTTCCCCGCTTTACAAAGCCCTGGAATTCAGGATTATCCAGCTGAAAATTCCCTTGATTCTGCTTGTATCCACCCCCCCTTGCCTGTCCATGTGCACCTTGGAGAAAAGTTTGGCACCCTCTTGTCTGTATCATTCCTGGAATGGTAAAACTGAAATTCCAGGAGACTTTGCTGCTCCAACATCCAGGAGCCTCCTGTGCTGCACTGAGGGAGGTGATTGATCTCCACCCTTTGAGGTTTGATTCTTTTCTTCATCTCTTCTCCAGGGAGAGAGAGGTTTGCCTTATTCTGTTGGGTTGGTTTTTGCAGCAGGGAGCAGGGATTGGAGGAAGTTGCAGACCCCAGAAGGGTTGCACCTTCACCATCTTTGCATCCCTCTTTTGGACCCTCTGAACAGCTTTAGATGTTTTTTTGTGCCGTGGTGCCCAAACTGCTCCCAGCCCAGAGCAGAGCAGGACAATGCCCCCCATGTGCTCACCCCTTTCCCCTGGGGAGCATTCCCAGATGGCATCACTCTGCCTGGCTCCCCCTGACCCCTCTGTCCTTCCTTTAAGTCACCCCCTGTTCTCCTCTCTCCCACCCCTGCAGATCCTGACAGGGGAGGACTGGAATGCTGTGATGTACCACGGGATCGAGTCGCAGGGCGGGGTCCGCTCGGGGATGTTCTCCTCCATCTACTTCATCGTCCTGACGCTGTTTGGGAACTGTATCCTTCCACGGCTGCCCTTCCTGGGCTGCCAGAGAGACCTTATGTTGTTTCAATTCTCACCCTTTTGCACTTTTTAAAACGGAATTATTGCTTTTTCTCCTTCCAGCCCCCGGGCTAAGGCGTGTGGGTGAGTTATCCAGGTTGGTGGCCGCTCTTCTTATGGCAACGTAAGAAATTTTGATTTGATTTAATTTCATGACATTTCATTTTAATTGTTACCTTTTACCTTGAGAATGTCCTACTGTGAGTCAGTTTATGTTTTCCTTGAGAATGTCCTATGTGAGCTACTTTATATTTTACCTTGAGGACGTCCTATTACGAGTTAGTTTGTGTTTTCCTTGAGGATGTCCTGTTATGAGGTGGGAAAAATAACTGAAGTCAGGTCAGAGCAGGACCTCTGTACCTCAGACATCCTCACAGATGGTTTGTGGTTGGTCAGGGGAAGGAAGAGCTGAAATTGGGTTGGTGGGTAGATGAGGCTCCATTCTCTTGGTGCCTTTGTCTCCAGGGCAGCTCAACCAGCTGTGCTGTTCCAAATGCTGGAAATTATCCTGTCTCCACTTAGTGCTTAAAATTTAATTCTAGATCTTGGGTTTCAGGCTCTGGGGTTTCAGACTCATTCAGTCGTGGTCCAGGACTTGGCACATGAAGTGTCTGTTTTCTTCTGCTTCAAGATGAAAATCTCTTGAGGGCGAGAAGAAACTGGGGGCTTGTGCCTCCCCCAAAATGTCCCAGGGTGTCTGTGGGGAACCAGCAGCACTTTGATGTCTGATATGTCCTGACAGGACTAAGCAGGCAAGAACACAGTGACATGGAGATGGGATTTGGGAAGGGAGGATCTATTTTATACAGCACTGAGGTGATTCCCTGATGTCACATCTGGGTGTGATGAGTTGAAGCTGGAGCAGAGGGGCTGTGGTGGCTCTGCCCCTGCTGATGGAATTGCTCTGTGGAATTGCTGCCATTAAGCAGGTTCAGGATCCTTGGTGTGATGTTTGCTGCCTGCAGCCTCAAGCTGGAGTCAAACAGAGCAGCCTCAAAAATGGGACTTTAGAAACTGTTGCAGAGACAAAGCACCCAGCTGGTTTGTTTGTTCTGTGAAACAGGGGTAATAACTGAGCCTTGCTGCTCTGCTTGGGGGCCTGCCCAGCAGGGAGAACCTTCTTGCTGGTTACAGTCCCAGAGCTCATCTTTTCCTGGTGTTGTTTGGGCTGGCTGGGTACCTGGGAGGGAGGGAGGGGTCATGGGGGCAACACTTGGGCTACAGACAGGGAGCTGTCACAGGGGCTGCTTCAGCTGAGGGCGAGATGACAGGAGATAGGGTGTCTCCAGCCCTTTCCTCTGTCTGAGATCCCTCCATTAGCACGAGGAACAGCGCTGGGGAAGAGCAGAGCAGACAGGCAGAGCTGTGCTTGTCACACCAGAGTGTCCCTGCGGGATTTATCCCATTATCCGGCGCTGTCGGAGCCGCAGCGGCCGCGGTGCCCGCCTGGCTGGGCAGCCACGCTCAGACATCCACCTCCCAGCCCCTTCCAGAAACACAGCCTTTGGAAAACTGGGTCAGTGGAGAGCTGGCAGGGAGGGAGAGCTCTAAATCCTCCAGGCTTGGCATTTGAAAATGAGATTAAGCCGTAATCAGGCTTGACAGCACAGCTGAGAGAGAGACTCTTACCCTGCGAGCAGCTCCGAGCCAGCGTTTTGGAGGAACGGGGTATTAATTCCCTGCCTCACCTTTAATTCAGACAGGCTTCTCCCTTGTCCTTTAGTTTTCATTAAAAGGGAGAGAGCAGGGGGTGTTCAAGGGCAGGCCATAAGGACCTGGCTCACCTGCTGCCACTGCCACGAGCTCAGTATTTGCCTTTGCTTGCTGCCACAGCGGGGAGGTGAAACCTTGTCCACATTCCCCTCAGATCTCATCCTGGCTTCCCCTTCTGAGGTGATCCAGGCAGTGGCTTTCGTGGCTTTTTCCCTGAGATATCTCCAGTGCCTCTGCCCTCCCCTTTGCCCACAGGCACAGCTCCCTGGGGCATTGCTGGGGTGTTTAGCAAGGGGGATGGATCGAGTTTGGATTCTTTAGTTCTCTGTGAGTCCTGCAGGGAGGGAGGAGTTTGCTGCAGGTGAGTTCCTCTGAGCACAGAAAGAGGGAAAACCTGGCTGATAAACAGTAACAATGCCCAGAAAACCTTCTGTAATTTCCTGGAAGGCTTCTTCCACCAACTTTTGAAGTTTTCCAACTTCCCTAAAGAGAAGCTGTGGCTGCCCCATCCCTGGAAGTGTCCAAGTCCAGCTTGGAGCAACCTGGTCTGGTGGAAGGTGTCTCTGCCCATGGCAGGGGGTGGAATGAGATGATCTTTAGGGTCCCTTCCAACCCAAACCATTCTGGGACTCTGTGATACTTCAGGTGATCAAAGCTATAAACCTCAGACAAACCCATTAATTCCCGTGGGGATTTACATCCCTGTTGGAGAATTGGAGACCCAAACTTAGTCTGGGAATATCAGCAGCTTTCCCAGAGAGTTTGTAAGAGCCTTTCTGCCCCACACAGACCTTTGAGCACTGTGGGCAGGAGGGGAGAACTGGGCTTGGGGTGTGTGGGGAAGGCTGAGGGGTTAAACCTCTCCCGTGGGTGTTTTCCATGGGGATTGCAGCAGTGATTCCACTAAAGCCTGTGCTGATGTTTCATCAGCATTTGGGGAAGGTCAGGTCTAACCCTGCTGTCCAGCAGCTTTGTCTGTGGTGCTGGGAGTGAGCAGCAGGCACTCATTTATCCCTGAGGGACTTACCAGGGACTCAGGTCAGCATTAACTGTCCAAACACAGCCAGGAACATCTGAAAATAAAGTTCAGTTTGCCAGGAAAGGAGAGCCCTGCATGGCTGCAGGAGGTAAAACAGTCATTAATGGCAGGGATGCTGCAGAGTGAAGGACAGGGGAGTGCAGAGGGTGGAAGTGTCTCAGCCTTGGGGTCACTTCCCAAGGAGACCCCACAGCCCAGGGAACACCATGAGAACACACTACAAAGAGCAGTCTGAGTTCTTGATCAGCTTAATTCTAGGCTAGAAACACAGAATCATATGATATCCTGAACTGGAAGGATCATCAAAGATGATTAATTCTCCTTAAATTAATTATTAGATTAGATTAGTGTGACTTCATTGCTCTAACTTAGGGCTTCATAAAGATCTGTCCACTCTGCCTTGCAGAACTCCCTCCAAAAAGCTTTAAAAATGTACCTTTTTTTAATGCAATATGTCAAGTGTGGCTTTTCCATCCCTCCCCATACAACTGAATTTCTTAAGCAGGACTTTATGGTTTTATTTTCTTATATCACTACTGAAATCAGCCAAAACCCTTCTGGGGCCTGACCAGCAAAAGGTACTTTGGTTCCTCTACTGGGAGTGGGCTTATTTTCACTTTGTGAACTTTGCCATTTTGAAGAGTTTGGGCAGAATGGATCAAATCTCCTCAGAGAACTGGAACTGGTGATTTTGGGTCATTTTGCAGAACCTGCTCTTTTTAACCACGAGGTTCTCTTTTCTCCTCCCTGAGCTGTTCAGGGCATCAGGATTATTCTTTTCCATGCAGAAGAAAGGTGGGCTGGTGCTGATTTCTGCTGCTTCTCACTGCACCTTGGGATTCTTCCTTTGGCTCCATTTACTTTTTCGAGGGACCATTGCAAGGAAAAGATCCTGAAAGTTTGTTTTTCTAAGTCAGAAGCGTCTCACTTTATGTTTCCAGTTCCAGAGAGTCTGTGTGGAACCAGCTTAATGGAAGTGGTGTGATTGGAGGAACAGCAGGATTTGGCCCATTTGCTAGGAAATGACACCATGCCTGTATTCATTGTTGTCCAGTTAATTGATAAATGGAGGCATCTGTTGAGGGGGAGAAAAAAAACCAACCTGCAGAGGAGCCTGAGAAGCAAAGCAGGAACTGCCTGGAGGTGCTGCCCTTCCCCTGGCCCTCGAGTGCTGGGCAGGAGATCCATCCTGGCACAGGCTCAGCCACCAGCCCTGAGCCAGAGCCTGGAGTTTGGGTGATATTTGGGAATCCCAGAGCTCTGCAGAAAGGGACTGGAGGACCTTTTTCTGGGGGCAGAAACACCCGAGTCTGCCAGACTGTGTCTGCTTGGAAACGGATCAAAACAGCCTGATCTGATAAAAAAAATTAATTACATTTCCAGTGGTTGCTTCTGTTACACGAGACACTCTGAGCATGTGTGTGTGGGAGGCAGGGGTAGGAAGACAGTTTTATTGCTGAGACATTTATTCCCAGAGTAGGAGGGCTGGAAGTGTTTCCAGCAGGTTGGAAGCACCCCAGAGGAAGAAACCCAAACACCCAGCACAGAGCAGCACCCCAGGGTTGCCTCAGCCCCCCTGTCTGCAGCCTCTGTCCTTCCACCTGCAAACCAGCCCTGAGTTCAAAGGAAATGGGGAAATGAATATATTTTTTAATGAAATATTGACCATCTTTTCCTGGGCTCTCTGGGATCGAGGTGCTCCCACCCACAGCACTCCCTGCCCTCCTGGAATGAGGGAAGGAGCAGTTGATGGGCATCACATTTCAGACCTCTCTCTGTCCCAGAGGATTTGTCTCCAAATGGTAAAAACTTCCATCCCATGTTCCGTGAGATGGAGGAAAACTGAGGGATGACGTGGTTCCTGGCTGGAGAAACCCCAGGGCTCTGCATCCCATCCCCTGGGGGGTTTGGCAGTCAGGGAGGATGCAGATGCATCCTGAGGGATTAATACAACTCCTGCTTCCCACTGTCACAGGCACAGGCTCCAGGTTTGATGGACATCAGGCTCTGGAGATGCTCATCCCAACGGGAATTAGAGATGGGAATGCCTGGGCCTGGAGTCTTGGCTGAATTAGGTTCGGTAAAAGCTCTTGAGAGGGAAAGCAAAGAGGCTTTGAGATCATTGTTTGGGCCAGCTTTGGTCCCTGGTTGCCTTGGGAAGTCCTCTGGTGCCGTGGCCATGTGGGACCAGAGCTCTGCAGCCAACAGTGCCCGAGCCAGAGTGGAGTCTGCTGGGGCACGAGGGGTTCTGGGCACAGCCTTGTTTGGGAGAGACCACTGCAGGTGGTGCCTCAGCCTTGCCCTGCTCCTGGCTCCTCTGCCTGCAGAGAAACCTCAGCTGCCTCCTCCAGGAGGTCTCCTGAGGAGTGGGAAGCAACGGAGGGGCACTGAGGCCAAGGTTTCCCAAAATCTCCTTGCAGGTTGATGGCACTCTGGGAGCTCATCCCTCGCCTCTCCTCCCCTCACAGGAGGGATTTGTGGCTCCCCCAGCTCACCATCCTCACCCCCTGTCCTGCCCTCACTCAGCATTGCCCTGAGCTGGGACAGAGCAGGGGACACTTCAACCTGACAGAAAATCCCACCCTGCTTAGGGTTGGGATTACAACTCATCTTATCCCACCCCCGGCCACGGGCAGGGACACCTCCCACCAGCCCAGGTTGCTCCAAGCCCCCTCCAACCCAGCCTTGGACACTCCCAGGGATCCAGGGGCAGCCACAGCTTCTCTGGGCAACCTGTGCCAGGGCCTCCCACCCTCACAGGGAACAATTTATTTCCCAATATCCCATCTAACCCTGCCCTCTGTCAATTTGAAGCCATTCCCCCTTGTCCTGTCACTCCATCCCTTGTCCCCAGTCCTTCTCCAACTCCCCTGGAGCCCCTTACAAATACCTGGATTAGTTTCCTCAAGTCCTTTCCTGGGGGACCTGCAGCTGGTCCCAGCCCCACTCTGGGCTCTGGTGGGGACCCTGCAGTGCAAACACAGAGGCAGCACTTGGCTGCTAAAGCATTTTGGATCTCCAGAGGGTCCATACTCCTGGGATCAACTCCATCCTCATGTCCATTCCCATTAGGAGGAGCAAACACAACTTTCCACAGCTCTGGAGTGAGTGACTCTCCTGTGACCAGGTAATGTGCAAGAGAAAAATCTATTTTCTCCTTGGGAGAGTCATTTCAACTTGGTTTTGCTTTGCTTGCCCTCCTTTCCCAGGCACAGTTTCCTGATTTACAGTCGTTTCGGGGCCGTTTTGCAGACACGGAGCTGGAATGAAAACAATAAAACAACCCAGAGCTGAAATCATTAAAGTGGAAAAATGAAAATACAACATGAATAAATAATCAGAGGCCAACGTTCTGTCCCGGTGATCTAATGCAGGGCTGTGCAGAGGGACCAGCCAGGCGTGGGCACTGCCCTTGTTTAGCTGGGCTGGGTGCAATTTGGGCTGGACTAACAGGCTGTTTCCCTGCAGAGCTCATTAGCTGGGGCTGGGGGTGCTGCTCCCGGGCTCTCCTGGAGCTGGGGGTGAGCACTGAGGGGGGAGGATGGCCAGGATGCTCTCCTGGTCAGGGGGGAGGATGGCCAGGATGCTCTCCTGGTCAGATGGACTTCAGCAGGACAAACCAGGATGGTTTTTTTTTCCCATCACTGCAATCCAGCAGTGGCTGAGCTTCATCTTCCCTGCTATCCAACACCTTTGTGTAGCTCTGGGTATTTATTCTGCAAATATTGGCTTTAAAGTGACCGATTTCCTGCAGCTCCACTGGTGGTCCTTTTAAAGAATGGGGGGGAAATGAAGGGGTGTGTGGGCAGGAGTGGAGGGGGGGGTTTCCAGAGTGGAAAACCAGGGGCTGTGGTGTCTCTAGGGGTTGTAAAGCCCCCCTGCTCAGCCCCTGTGTGTGTCCCCACCAGGGAGGAGATAAGTGGATGTCCAGCACCTCCTGGGCTGCAGAGCTCCAGGCAGAGGGGGTGGATTGGGAATGATGGCACAGCACTGGTGCAGGGGGTCAATCCATAATCCATAAATGGGAAAAGAAGGGTGGTGGCAGCAGAAGGGGGAGGGTTGGCTGTGCCTGCTGGGTGAGGAGTTTTTCCTTATCTGCCTCCCAAAAGACACCCTCCTGAACGTCTTCCTGGCCATCGCTGTGGACAACCTGGCAAACGCCCAGGAGCTGACCAAGGTAGGGATGAGATTCCTGTTTCTTCCAACTCACAGAGCAGCTGATGACCCCAAATTACACCTGATAATGAGCCTGCTCGTGCCATATCTCTGTTCACCAGCTTTCCCAGCAGAGCAGGACCAGGAGGTTTATTCTTCTCGGGGTTTTGTTTCATTCCAGGCTCGTTGCAGTGAATATTTCGTGCCCTTTCCTTAGTTTTATTACAGAGTGGGCAGTGGCCATTGCTCATCTCACTGCTGTGGGGAGGTGCTCAGGCACTTCAGCTGTTTCCAAGAGCAGAGGAGAAGCAATTCCCAGGTTTGGGCTGAGCTGAAACTCAGGATGAGCAAAGGCAGAGGTTGTGTCGCTGCCTTTGCGGTCTCGCACTCGTGTTTCTTCCCTTGCTGAGGTTTGGGGTGGATTAAAGAATTAAAATTTTCCAGTCAACCCCCTGGAACTTGCAGAGGGTGTTTGGAACACCCAGTGAAGGTGTTAAACCTTCCTGCCCCTCACCAGGGTAAGAGAAACCTGAGGCACCAGCCTGAGCACAGGCAAAGAGCCAGGTCCTGGCAAGGGATGGAAATGACACTGATGGAACTTCAGTGTATGCAGAATTTTGGGTATAGATATATATCTATATATATACAGATTTATATTGGAGTATCCCCTGTGGAGGAGATTTCTATTGGAGCATTCCCTATGGAGAAAAACTGGCAGCCTCAGGATTGCACAAGAAGCATTTCAAGAGCACTGCCCCTGATATTTGTATTATTGCATACTTTGGGTTTGCCATTGTACCACACTCAGACGTGTTTATGAGCAGCATGAGGGGGTTTTTTTTTGCACATTTTGCACATTTGCAGTTTGTTCTCACTGATAAAACCATGAACCCCCATTGCTGTGCTGCTGCTGCTGCTGAAACCTGGGAAATAAACTCTGCAACCAGCTTTTTTTTGGGTTAGAAAGCCAAAAATACTCTATTGCAGTGCTGGATGCAGGGGGATTATTCCTCAAAGCTTTCACGAGCAGCAACCCCCCAGCCCAGGTTATATCCATGGCAGTAATACATACTCATCACATTTATATTGCATGTTAATTATATTTCATTAATACCTGAATATATGCTAATTATTTTAGTGAACTTTTTTGGATACCAATAGGGGTCTTTCCAGGGGCTTTGGTGGTCATTTGGGTACATCCCATTCCCCAGAATTCCCTTTTATGCTCCTGGATCTTCTGGTGTATCTCCTTTCCATGGGAGTATCTCGAATATGTGCTCAGGTCATGCTGCACTTCTTTAATCATTCTTTGCTCCAACACTCCATCAATGTTCTCAAAACTAAGACACCTCCCAGGACATATTGATCACTAATATAAGTAAATAATGAAAATAGTAGCTGGCACAAGACTTACCAGTCATGGATTTAGGGAGCTACCCCAGGGCCCCCCTGATCTCTGGCATTTGTCCTGAGCTCTGTGTGGTACAAACCCAAGCATCAACCACAGACAGAGGGACCACACACTGTTGGTAAAGGAATTTCCCAACATCTCCCACTGCTGCAGAGACTCTTTCTTAAAGAATCATAACTTGTTTGGTAACACTGCCCTTGGCATCAGTCACAGGGGCAAAAGCAGCACCACAAGCACCTCAGGGGTTGTGTTTTACAGGATTTCTCTGTTCTTTGCAGTAGAAGAAGGTCATTAACCATGTGCTGCTGCAGTGGGCAAGGATGTTTTCTCTTGTTGGAGTTGTAGGAAGGTGCAGGAGTTCATTCCCCATCCCTGGAAGTGTCCAAGGCCAGGTTGGAGCAACCTGGGATAGTGGAAGGTGTCCCTGCCCAGGGCAGGGGGTGGAATGAGATGGTCTTTAAGGTCCTTTCCAACCCCAACTATTCTATGATTCAATGGAAGTGCTCAAAAAGGTGCGGATGTGGTGCTGGATCAATCACAGAATCAACTGGGTTGGAAAAGACCTCTGAGATCATGGAGTCCAACCCTTGACCCAACCCCACCTTGTCCCCCAGCCCATGGCACTGATGCCACATTCAGGCTCTGCTCAAACCCCTCCAGGGACGGGGACTCCACCCCCTCCCTGGGCAGCCCATTCCAAGGGCTGATCCCTCTCTCTGCAAACAACTTCTGCCCAATGGCCAAACTAAACCTGCCCCTCGGGGCAGCTCAGGCCTGTGCCCTCTTGTCCTGCGTGCTGGTTCCTCGCAGCAAAGAGGCCCGAACCCCCCGGCTCCCCTCCTGGCAGGCATTGAGTTGCAGAGAGTGAGAAAGGTCTCCCCCTGAGCCTTCCTCTCTGTCCAGGCTGAGCCCCCCCAGCTTCCCTCAGCCTCTCCTCACAGCACTTGTGCTCCAGACCCTTCCCCAGCCTGGTTGCCCTTCTCTGGACATGGATAGTGGTGGATCTGGCAGTGCTGGGTTGACTTGATGATCCTGGAATGTTTTCCAGCCTCCATGGTTCCATGGATACACCTCAGGCACACACAGATTTCTCAGCATTTCCCACCCCCCAGTCAGAATCCACATCCCTGTTGAGGCTGAGTTTGTCTGTCCCAGCTTGTCCTTCCCACTGTGGAGCTGCAGGAGTGGCTCCAGCTCCCAGCTCTGCCTGGAGAGTGTTTCCTGACATCCAATATCCAGCCCAGACTGTGCTCTCAGGAGTCTGATAAACATTCCTGTGTCTCAGGCCATGCTCCTCATCCCCCTCTCTCACAATCAGCTCAGGCCTGCATTTAATGGCTCTTTGGTTTATTTTTCCTGGGAATTTTTTCCCTTTCAGCAGCTCAGCTGTTTCTATTCTTTCTAAAACTCCCAGAAATCTCCAGCCTGGAGGCACAGATCCTCCCAGATTTATGGGAATCCCTTGCATGTGCTAAGAGAGAGGAGCAGGCCTGGCACAATTCTTGGATAATGAAGCTCATCCTGCTTCTTTCTTAATCCTTTAAGTGCTTTCTTGTGAATATTTCAGCAGCTGACAGGGCCACTTAAAAACCTGACTTTGTTGATGTTTATAAAGTATAATTAAATATTGATGGATTCAGCAGCATGGCCAAAGCAGAAAGCTTCTTGAGAAACTCTCTTTTTTTTTTTTTCTACTTAATTTTATTTACTATCCTAAAAAAAAAAATAAAAAATCACCAGGGCTCGCAAAAGAAGAGGAAAAAGATAAAAGTGATTCAATTATACACATACCTGGAGAATGAGGGATTTCCTGCTAAGTAAATATGATCATGCAAAAGCAAAAAAAATGGCCCAGAGACACAATTAAGTTACTCAGGAGTCTGTTGATCTCGGGGGACTTTTTTGACATTTATGCTGCAAATGGAGATCAGTGCTGCACATAATGTGGGCAAACCAGGAGCAGTTGGCAACTGCCTCTGTTTTGGGAAGCCACAAAGCTTTCCAGCCTCAGGACTGAACATTTCAGCTGAGATTTCCACTTTGGGATGATAATGGGGATTTATTTAGAGTGGCATTGTGACCATTTCTTACCTGGGCCTTGTGACCTGTAAAGGAATTCTTGGAATTGGAACTATATTTAACTTAAGCTTGGTCATCCAGTGCGTGTTACAAAACTCACCAGAGCTTAGGAATGACTCATAAAAAGGAGGGGATAAAAAAGAATCACCTTTGTTTTCAATGTATAAAGAACCTGCTCTCTCCCCTCCTCTTCTGTGCTGCCCTTTTCTTCCCTTCCCACTGACTCAAACTCTGCCAACCCAATTTCTAGTGATTTCTGGGAACTCTTCTAAATGCCTCTGGGTTCTCTACCCTCTATTTTTTCCCAAATATTGGCAGTTTTTTCTCCCTGTTCACTTATTGAGATGGAATCTACAATTGCCCCCCGAATTTGCTTTTAAAACCTTCTCTCCCCTGACCATCCCACCTTTAATTCCTTTCTTTGCTTGTCTTCATGGCTTGTACTTTCCCTACTGAAGTGTCTTTATCTCAATCCATGAATTTTGTCACTTATGGATTGAGATAAATTCATGGATTGAGGTAAAGCAGTTCCTTCATCCTCATCAAACTTGAGTGGAAAGCCACCAAAACTGACCCTTTATTTTCCTAAACATCTTAAAAGCACAGAGTGGTTATTTTTGATCTCAGTGATCCCTGAGAAACCAGGATAAAACCATGGAATGGGGGAGTAGAAGGGGTGTGTGAATTTGACATAAAAATGTATGAAAGTGTTGAGAAATTCCCAGAAATAATATCCTGGAGCAACCAAACCAAGATTTGAACATCCATGGATCCTCCTCCTCCTCCCCCCAACAGTGAGGGCTTTAATTGATGAACTTATTAAAGAACAGGCAGTGTTAATGATCTCTACCATCATGATTAGCTCCAAAAATGGGGTTTGCCATGTAGTAAACTGGTTTAAATTAAGATTTAGGGCTCTAGAAATCAGAAAGGAATCATAAAAGAGGGATGTCCTTATAGGGAAGACCTTTATGTGCACTTTATGTGGAATGAGGGTGACAGGCTGGGCTGGTGGTGGAGGTGGGATGGATGGATGGATGGATGGATGGATGTTGCCATCAGAGCTCCAGTGAGACCTCTCAGGTCAAATATCAGGCAAAAAATTAATTAATTTTTGGAGTGATCTGCAATTTCTCTATGGGAGGAGCTACAGAAATATTATTAAATAGTCTGCTAAATAAATATTAATCTTTTAAATACTCTAAATAGTATTATTATTAAATAATATCATTAAATATCTGCTGAAGAGTGGGCTCATTCTGAGTTAGGGATGGCTGAATTTACAACAACACAATGGGTATTTTTTGCTGGTACCTCACAATGTGGAATCCAGCAGAATTCCTGAGGCACCAGGGGGGATAGAGCAGAAGCTACACATTTTAAAGCCATTTTAAAAACTGCACCTGGTGCTCTTGGTGCAAAGAAAGAAAAAAAGAAGCTTTGATTTTAAGGCTGTCGGAGATTCCTCAAGAGAGGAAACAACTTGAACATACCTGAGGGGTGAAAGAAAATCCTTAAAAGCCTTTTAATTGGGGTTTTACTCATTAAAAAATCTTATATTCTGCAGGTTTGTGGTGGGCTAGGATGGGGTAGAGTTAATTTTTTATCACAGTAGCTGATGGCTGGGATTTGGATTTGGGCTGGAAATGGTGTCTGACCCAGGGATGTTTTATTAGTGCTGAGCCCAGGGGGGAGGTTGGGGGTGCACAGGGATTTGGGAGGACAAAACTGATCCAACTGACCCATGGGATGTTCCAGAATATATGGATTTATGCTCAGCACATAAAGCTGGGGGAGTAGGAGGAAAGGAGGGATCTTTGGAGTTTGTCCTTCCCAGTCACTGTTGCATGTGATGGAGCCCTGATGTCCTAGGCAGGGCTCAGGGATGTGATCACAGGGTTGCCTGTGATGGGAAATGGGATTTAATTCCTTTCTTTGCTTGTCTTCGTGGCTTTTACTCTCCCTATTAAATTGTCTTTAACTCAATCCATGAATTTCATGACTTATACTCCTCTGACTTTCTCCCCCATCCCACCAGGGTGGGTGTGAGTGAGCAGCTGCTGGCCAGGGTTAAACCATGAACCCCCCTGGATCTCCAAACCACTGATAAATTTACTGCAATTTGGCACCTGAGAAATATTGACCTTGTGTAATTGCTCAGCAGGTCCTTTATTCCTGGCCTGGCTCAAGTCCTTCACTCACTGCACTAAGAGTTGCCTTGTTGTATTTGCTAACATTTGAAAAAGGAAAAAAAAAAAAGAAAAATCTTATATGCTAACAATTTTTTTCCCCTTAATTTTCCACCTTTTCTGTTTTACTTCTAAAGGAGAAAACAGTTTCAAAATGAGCTCAGCTGAAACAACACCAAAGTCAGAGCAAGGGGCCGTTGATGCAGACGGAATTGGGGGTGGATAAATCTCTGATTTCCCATTTCAAAGCTGGATGTCTTGCTGCCTGCTCTTGTTATTTGAAGATTAACTCCCTCACAGCATTGCTGTTGAAGGGCAGAGAGGGAGAGACCTGTGGCCTTTCATAAAGTTTGACAGAAGAGCCTGTGACATGTGGTTATTCCCTGGCTGTGTGTGATGCTGACGTTGCCATCAGAGCTCCTGTGCTCATCCTGACATGATTTTAATATTAATTTGGCTGGCTGAAAAGTCTCAGGGCTGTTCACCCTGCAGGACCACTGATGATGAACCAGGCACTTTGTTTTTTGCCCTCATCTCGTTGTTTGAGGTCCTGTGGTTTGAATCTGAGTGGTGCTTCTCGTGTTGGGCAGGAGGAAATAAATCCCAATTACACTCTGCAGGCCCTTGCTGTGCCAGCAGAGCTTTAAAATCCTCATGGTGTGCAGAAATCATGGACAGAACCCTCTTTTGCTCTATGCCTGAGTCTACAGACCATATTTAATACTGTGCCTTTTTGTTTTCACCCTCTGAGTCCTCAGTGATTCATCTGAGTGGAAATATCTGGGGAAAAACTGCTGGGACCAGTCAAACCCATTGGGTTTTATTGGCTTTATTCTTTCAGAAAAGTCACCCACTGGCAAGAAGTCAGGGAGGATTTAGGAGCCTCTCTCCTGCCTTTCAGCAGGACGTGGTTTCAGGGTGGTTTTACACACACAGGGTTGGGGTGAAGAGGGCTCAGGGCACCCCAGAAATGTCCCACTCGTGGTCAAAATCCACATCCCTGGTGTGGCTGAGTTTGTCTGTCCCAGCTTGTCTTTCCCTCTGTGGAGCTGCAGGAGTGGCTCCAGCTCCCAGCTCTGCCTAGAGAGTGTTTCCTGACATCCAATATCCAGCCCAGACTGTGCTCTCAGGAGTCTGACAAACATTCCTGTGTCTCAGGCCATGCTCCTCATCCCCCTCTCTCACCATCAGCTCAGGGCTCTCCCTGCTCTCCTTGCCCAGTGCTCAGGGGTGAGAGGAGACCCCAGAGAGCCACCAAAGCTCTGTGAGGGACACGTGCTCCTGGTGAAAAAGCACAGAGAACTCGACCAAACCTCTCATTTCCCCTCTCAGCTCACACCAAGACCCTGCCCGGGGGTCCTTGCAGGGAGATACAAAAACCTGCCCTGTGTCAGTGAGTTCCCCCCGCTCTCCCAGCACAGCAGTGACAGTCCCACCCCAGCCATGCCTTGGGGAGCTCTGGGGGTTGTTGTGTGCTCTGATTTCTCTTGATTTCCCCCCCCAGGACGAGGAGGAGATGGAGGAAGCCACCAACCAGAAGCTGGCCCTGCAGAAGGCCAAGGAAGTGGCCGAAGTGAGCCCCATGTCTGCAGCCAACATTTCCATAGCAGCGTAAGCACTCCTTGCTTCTTTGGGAACTGGAACCACCTGGGGGCTGTTTTTCAGTGTCACTGTGTGTCTGTCCCACTGGAGCATCCCATGGTACTCTGTGAGCCCTTCTAGACCATCTCTGTTCCTGGCAGGGCTTTAGGTTGGCTGAATATTCAGTGCTGATCACTTAACCATGAATTTAATTAAGGGTTTCTTTCATTTGGTGGGGTTTCTTTTGTAATGCCTCATCTTTTGCCTTGCTCTACATAACTGTATTTTAGAAGGATCTCTTTTTTTTTTTTTTTTTTTTTTTTTTAAGCTGTCCTAGGATAGATTTCACCAGGTGAAGTGTTAATGTGGCACTTTGGGTTTTTAATGACCAGAGGAATGTGAGCACGGAATGTATTAACTATTCTTTCACAATCTCTGAGAATTTAAATGTAAAAGCCTCCCCTTCAATATCAGCCTGAAAAATATGCTTGAAAGCTCTTTTTTCTCTGCCATTTGAAAGAGTTCTGAGGTGAATAAAACCACGTATGTGAACAGCCACTGGTTTGTAGACAGAAACAACAATTTGCATTTTATGGATGAGAACATCTGCACGAGTTCTGTGACTCCAGAATCCCTGGAAAACATTGCTTTGGGCACCACCTTTCCACGGATCCTGATCTAACTGAAGATATGATGATCTGTAGGTGGGAATACTTGTCCAGGTGTTGGTGAGGTCAGTTCTGCCTGTGCTTGGGATGTGCCAACCTGGAAGTGTCCAAGGCCAGGTTGGGCAGGGCTTGGAGCAACCTGGGCTAGTGGGAGGTGTCCCTGCCTGTGACACAGGGTGGAACTGGATGGGCTTTAAGTTCCCTTCCAACCCAAACCATCCTGGGATTCCATCCTGTGATACCTCGCAAGGATTTACTGAAAAACAAAAGTTCTTCTGAAAAGTTCACTGAACTCTTCTGGAATTTTAACATCAGGGCAACCAGCACCAAGATATTTGACTTTTATATTTTTACTGAGAGCTGCTGATGTTTTCCAGACCCTTTTTATAGGGGAGACCTCCAAGGGCTGGGGAAGCTCAGGAGTTAAAATAGAAATTTCCTGTTCGATTTTGTTGCCAAATCTCTGGAATGCACCCGGATCCCTCCTTGTTCTTTCAGTGCAAAGCTCTTGAGACCCTCGTTATTGGGAGTTTAATCCACTTCATCAAAGACAATGGGCCAAATGGAGCCAGTCTGTTATATGTGAAGGGAAAGATTATTATTAATTTGGCTATTTTATTCTTCTTGCCATTTTAATTTGCCATTTCTGCTTAAATCAGCTCCTCTTTATGCTGTGTCTGTTTGTTGGTTTTAAATATAATCTGTTCCTTACAATGCTTTCCTGTCCAGTCTTGAAGAGAAGCCAAATGAGGGCAGTTGCTCTTGTTCTTTGATTAATTTCTTGGTCCTCTTATTTTAAAATGCGAGGTGATGATGAATATTTTCTTCTTCTTTAATCAATGTGAAGATTTCTTAGAAATCAGCAGAAAAAACCAACCCACTTTAATGGAGTGAAGGTCTCACACCACACTTTTAAATTGCTTAGAATCACTTTATTCCATGATTTTTTCACCTGTTTTTCAGTAGCACAGGGCCAGTTTTGTGACAGCAATTCAAAATGAAGACAAAAATATGGATTTCTGCTTATTTTACCTCAAGTTGGATCTGCCCAGACCCCACATTTGTGGGAGCATTCAGTGAGCACAGTTGAAAGTCAATCATTCCCACACCTCCTGACCCCCATCCTGAGATTTCCTCTTGGCTCTGCTGTAGGACCAGTGAGATGCTCCCAGGGCCTCTCTCAAATCTCACAGGGCTTTAATTTGGACAAAAAAATGGCATTAAGTTCAATAAGGTGATGCTCAAATGGATGATGATGTAGAGGAAAAGGCAAGGGAGAAGTTTTGTGAGACAGAAAGAAGTGCTGGCTCTTGGTCCATAAGGCATCTAATGAATCCATGTCAAAGCAATTTGTTTTATACATAAATTCATCCACTGTGGACTCCAAAGAGGCTCAGCAATGGCAACTTTCAGGTTTGAAGCACCTTTCCCTTGGATATCTCTGTCCAGTGGTGACACAAATTACCCCATCACTTCACTTTTTATGCTCTTAAACTGCTCAGTGATCCTGAAGATGGAGCAGATCCCGTGTCCATGGCAAGTCTTGTGGGATCAGATCCAGAGCTGGACATGCCAAGAGTGAAAAACTGCTTGAAAATGGGATTTTTGGTGTATGGAAATAGCACCACAAAAGCAGAGCTTGGGCACAAAGAAGTGAGAAACAAACACCTGTAGAACCAAGGGGGTGGTGAACAAGGACTGGGAAAACTGGGATTGAGCTCCCAAAGGCCTCCTGCCAAGGTGGCTCCACCCAATCAGTTTGTATTTTTATTTTCTCCTGGGGAATCATTTCTTAGTTCTACAGTTTAATTTTCTTTTCAGATGAAAACGAATTCATCCCTGGCAGGCATCTGTAGCATGGATGGATGTTCTGAAAAAAAAAAATCAGCATTTTCTCCACCTGCATGAGTCAAAGTGGTGTTTGTTAGCAGAGGGCACCATGACTTGCATTCCCTCAGTCACGATGTTCATGTCCCTGGTGTGCTTGTCCACCTCCCACAGAGGTGACAAAGCTGTCCCTGGGCTGAGCCTGGGGAAGAGTCCTCCTGGTTGTTGTGCTGGTTCAGTGCTGAAGTGCTGTGCTGGCTGTTTGATTCCTTTCCCTTGTCAGTCCTGCATCAAGGACTGAGGGTGTGGATCTCCGCAGAAGCTCCTTCCAGGCCTTTCCACCCTCCGTGGTGACCCTGAGATCAGCTCAGTGCTGTCACTACACCCAGCTCGTGGCTTTGATCCCACTTTAAGAGCTGGACCTGCTGATCCCTGTGGGTATTTCAGACTCACAATATCCTGTGATTCTCTGTCTGCTCTTCCACTTCTGGTTTTCCCTTGCCTGCAGTTTCCCAGCACCAATTACACAGAATCACAGAATCAAACGGGTTGGAAAAGACCTCTGAGATCATGGAGTCCAACCCTTGACCCAACCCCACCTTGTCACCCAGCCCATGGCACTGATGCCACATCCAGGCTCTGCTCAAACCCCTCCAGGGACGGGGACTCCACCCCCTCCCTGGGCAGCCCATTCCAAGGGCTGATCCCTCTTTCTGCAAACAACTTCTGCCCAATGGCCAACCTAAACCTGCCCTGGGGCAGCTCAAGGCTGTGCCCTCTTCTCTCCTCTGCCATTCCAGCCTCCTTTCACAACTGACCTCCAAAAAATCTTCACTCTCTTGCGTTGGCTGCAAAACATCCTTTCTTAAGCAGGAAAACCTGGTTGCTTATTTAGTGTGTCAGCTTGGAGGGTCTGAAGAGGCACCTTCACCTTCACACTGCTGTGTGAGCCACGGATTGCTTTGTGACTGATGGATGTCCTGGGGATCTCTTTTAATAACCTGCTCATCGCTGCAGTGGTGTCGAGGCATCATCAGTCTCACATCTGCCTCACAGGGCTCCCTTACAACACTCTGCACTTGTTTGTAGCTCCTTCATTCCAGGATTCCTGTGGTTTGCCTCCTGCTCCACCACAGGGTGACAGATTTGCCTGACCACAGTTTGTCTCTTCACCTGGTGAACTCTACCCCGAAGGGCCCCTTTAATTTTGTGGCTTTCCAGGTTTAAAACCTTTAGGTGGTACACGTTGCTTTTGTCATTGTTGCAACGTTTGCTTGAAAACACGTGTTTAATTTGAGCCCATTGTTCCATTCTTATTTTTGTGATTTTTTTTTTGTCTGTGTTTGTTTTCTGTTTAGCGTTTTCCTTGCTTTGTTGTTTCTGGAGGTGAGTTTTTGGGGTCGTTCAGTTTGCCCAGCGTTGTGTTGAAGCCCCTCTGTGTCCTGCAACATTGAGACCACTCAGCCTCTGGAACTGAGCCACTGTACAGACCAAGGGGTCTTTGGAGCAAACCATTGGTGCAGCTCCTGGGTGGCCAGAATGGAGGAGGGGGGGAAAGGGGATGATTAGAAGGCAAAGAACTTTGTGGTGCCACTGGAAAGTGGAAGGAAGAGCCATCAGGCTCGCAGAGCCCCCAGTGCAAACATATCTTTTATTCCCTGTTTTTGCTCAACCTGATGCCTCAATTCCCTGTGTTTGGGTTCCTCCTCCACCTTTTCTGTGCCAGCCAGAGATGCACCAATGGCACGTACAAAAGGGGCTGAGATGAGCACCCCTGGCCCAGCCAGACCAGCCAGAGGGACACGAGCTGTGGCTTCCCTGGCACCCAGAGCCACTGGATTTTCCAGTGGCCTCTTTTCCCCTTTTCTTGGGAAAAGTCTTAAAATAGCAAATGTTTTTAGCAATCCTAAATTTGTAGGAGCCTGTAGGTAGTTGTGTGAAGTCACACTGAGTGAAACCATGTGCATTCTGTGACTTTGGTTCGGGTTTGTTTTTTTTAATTCCACATGGAATTAAAAACATGGTTACAGCTGTAGCCAGACCCAGGGGAATTATTCAATCACAGGTATGGAGGGGGTGAGTTTTGGATGGGAGGAGAACTTCCCAGATGTGGTGGAGGAAATGTGGTGGACAGTGAGAGAGACCTCCTGGATGTGGGCACCAAACCCAAATGCTGTGGAATTACCCGGTGCCATTTTCCCGAGTTACTTGTGCTTCCCAGGACAACCTTCCAGCCTCCCACGAGCTCTTCATCTCCAGGCTCTGACTGGTCCCTCAAAGAGTTGTTCAGAGCAGTTGCCACTTTAATTGCAGCCCCACAGCAAGTTAGAAAAGCCAGGAGAGAAGCTCCAGGAGCAAAGAGAGGTGGCCCAACCCTTCCCTGTGACTTCTCAGAGCTGCCTGTCCCTTTTGTACCGGTCTGGGGGCGGAGGGGAGGGAGGGGGAATTGCTCTGTTCCTCCAGGACATTTTCCATCTCAGAGACTCCATATTTTCCCCCCTGTCTTGGGAACACTGTGGTCTGTTCCCACACCTCTGTTGGGCTGTGGGTGCCCAACAAGGACCCAGCAAGGAGTGTGTGTGAACACCCAGCCCGTGTCCCTGCTGTGCTGGGGGATGTGTAGACTAGAGGAGTTGTTCTTTATCTCTTGCTGGCTCGTGATTTCTTCCCTTTTCTTTTCCCCCTTGGAGTGTGTTGGTGTGTGTGTGGGGGTCCTGTGATTCCTCCTGTTAGATTTACCTTTTTTTGTCCTTGCTGGTGGTGTGCCAGTGACTGAGCTCCACCCAGAGACCCTCTCTGTGCCCTGTCCCTCAGGGATGGTAAGTAGCATCCAGTGGAACTCAAGTACTGTGCTTTGGAGAAGGAGGTGGCTTTGCTTCGTGGTTTTTCACCCAGCACAAATTCACTCAAATTTCTGGTTACAAAAAAGCAGCAGTGGCAGCAGAGGAGTGAACCTGGAGAGCTGCAGGGCTTGTGTAACAGGGGCTGGCCAAGTGACAAGGAGACTTGGCAGGAGGAGAGCGTGGCCTCCACCCTGCACTGCCCCAACCAAGGCTGGGATAAACCCCCTGGATCATCCCAGCCTCCTGCTGAGGGATGTGGAGATCCCTCTCAGCAATTCAACCCAAAATTGCCACAGGTGTTGCACCAGACTTGGTGCTGACTTCAGGCAAAGGAGGGCAGCCCAGCACATTCTCCTCCATCCTGAGTTTTTCCACCTGTTTTGCCAGAGAAATTTCTTAGTTGTGCTCGAGGCCATTAGTGCTTGTTCTCTGCAGGGTTTCCCTGACATCCTGGGGGTTCAGCCTCCGGCCAAGGAGTAAAAAGATCCCCAGCTTGAGCAACCTGGAAACAATCATTTTCTTGGCAAGCAAGCAGGGCATGCCAACCCCACTTTGACTCCTATTTCATTTGGCACAATAAAAATGTAGAAATACTGAAGCTTAGGTAGCATATTTTACCTGTTTCAGCAGATTGTTTGCTTCAAGCCAAACTTTTATGATGCCTTTCATAATTTCTCCTATATTCATGCCAGGTTTCTGAATTTCTGGATTTTTTGTTATATATATATATTACCCAGGCCAACATTTCTGTTTAGAATAATCCATTAATTGTAATAAATGTATATTAAAAACTCTGCTTATATGATATCCAAAGGACATTAGACTTTAATTGGCCTTCTGGTTTGCTGGTATTGATTGTTAACAGATTAAAACTCTCATGGAAGCAGGAGAAAAAATGCTGCAGCTGGAAAGGCAAACCCAGGAGGTGAAGGGATTTCATTTTCAGTCTTGGGGACAGTTCTCTGCATGATGTAGATTGATCAAAATTATCTTTTATAACTAGGAAAAAATTAATGCCTCATTCAAGATCTATCCTGAGCTTTTCTGTAGATTCCCTACCAGAGGCAGAATAAACTCTTTTTCTGTGTAATTCAGTGATTTCCATGTTTAGAACCCCCCACATTTATGGTGTTTAGATAAACACTGGATGGAGGAGAATCCACAAAATAACTTGTGAACTGAAAGAAGCTCCTTTCCATTCTGGGCCTGCCCTGATGAAGCCGCAGCAGAGCTGAGGTTTTCAGACCCAGTGACCCATATTTGGCCAGTCTGAGCCCAGGCACATCCCTGTCCCCATCACAGGAGAGAGGTAGGTGCCTCTGAAGAGCACATCTGAGGCAGGGACTGAGGAGAAGCTTCCTGCTGGAGCTCAGGTGGATTTTGGAGCCGGGATGTGGCCCCGGGTCCTCTCCCCAGCCCATGTTCTCCGTGTTAAGCTTCCTCCTGGTGCCCCAGGGCTGGAGCAGGAATTAGCATCTTGCTCCCACTTGGAAAGGACTCTTTGCAGCACAGCTGTAAAAGCAATCCCCACCTGGTCCTCCAAAGGCCTCTCCCCGAGGCCCCGGCGGTGACTCCGCGGAGGACCCCACGCCGTGAGTATGGCACACGGAGGCGCGACGGCCCCGCATCATCCTGTGGCTTTTGGTTCACCTTTTAATTTCTTTACCCCCCCACCCTTTGGTTCCGTTTTTTGATTCTTTGGTTGTCTCCCCTCGCCCAGAGGGTGGTGTGTCTGTGACTTCCCCACTTTGTGAAGCTTGCCTGGTCTCCTCCCGAGGTGCACGTCTGCATCCCGTAGGACACGGCCTGTACGAGCCTCCTCCCCGATGTCTCTTATGGTTTCTCTGCTCTTCTTCTTCTTCTTCTTTTCTGTTGTTGGTTGGTTTTGGTTTTTTTTTTTTCTCCCCCCCTTTTTTCTTTTCTCACTTTTTGTTTTCTTTGTTTGTTTTGTTTTTGCATGTGCAGTTTTGTAAAGCAAACTCGAGGTACTGTATCTCGCAGCTCGTCAGTCTCCAGCGTAAATTCACCGTGAGTTGCTCTCTGTTACAATATTCAGTAAATGGATTATTTATCATTTCTACCTCTGTATTTATAAACCACCCTCTTTCCCTTTCTCCTGGTGCCTTCGGTCCCTCCTTGTTTTTTTCCAAGAATCATTCCCATCATTGTGGAAAACCTCCAGACCAACATCCAGTGGAAGGGCTGGAACATTGTCATATGATGCTTGTGATTTGATCGTGAGCAACTCTGTAGTGTTTCATCCATTGACTGTGACTCTTCCTCCCCTTCTTTCCTTCATTTTTCTCTCATCTCCTTAATTATTTCCATCATTCCTTCCTTAACTCTTTCCCCCTCTTTTCCCATCTGCCCTCGTTTGATGGTTTGTCTCGTTCTCACTTGTACTTCTGTTCTCTGTGTTTATTGTGCACTGGGCTGATGGCTTTGATGTTCCACCAGTGTTTGCACCTCGGGCTCAGTAGGAGAACCAAAGTGCACTCTTTGAGTGCAAGCTGGAGGAGGACTTCCAAAGAAACTCCTGGAAATGGGGTCCAAGTGAAACTAAATTGGAAAACTCTGTAGAGACATCCTTGGGAAACTGGTTGTGAGCTCTGACCTTCTCGAGCTGGAAATTAAAGCTACAGATTTTATAAAAATGAGGCACTTGGCAACTCCCATGGACCTGAGGTCGAGCAAACACAGTGGAAACCTTCCCTTCACTCCCTGTGCTTCCTAACAAACCAATCTTGCTGGCTGTGCTGTCAATCAGGGGGCGCTTTGACGCCGCTGCAGGTTTGTAGAAAATATCATTTTTTCTCATCTGACTAATCCAACAAAACTCCTCGTGAGCTTCTCATCGACCCGTGGGAGTGTCTCTGCTTTGGGTTATCTCTTACCCTGTGATGTTGTCTTTCTTCTTTAATGCTTTTGGAGAGACAAGTAAGTGCAGTTCCAACCCGTGTGGGGTTTGTACCCCAGCGGGGACCAAGGTACGGTGAAGCAAAGGAGCTTTCCCACCAGCTTCCTGACATCTTCCTTTTTTCCTGGGTGTCTTGGGGGTGTTTGTATTAAAAATACTTTTGAGTTTGGCTTCTGTGTGACCAAGACTGAGCTTTTGTGACTAACAAAAGTAGGTTTGATGTGTCTGTGCTGAGGGTTGATGTCTCACAGGGCTGGGACAGTGAAAAATGAGGGGATTAAACCAGACCAAGGCAGGTTTGGACTCATTTCTCCCAATGCATTTCCTGGCTGCTGGGAGTCTGGACAGGCAGGAAGCTGCAGAGAGAGGTGTCCTTCCCTTTGGAAAGGGGAAGGAAATTTCCCCTTGTCTCCCACCCCAGCAGGAGGAGGGGGAATGTTTGAAGGTGGTGATGGAGGGGAGGTGCTGCCCACTTGCCCTCTCCCCAACACTTGGATTTGCTCCAGTAGAAGTTGCACCAAACTGGTCTGAGTCAATATTTTCCCAATTAAGAATAAAGAATAAAGAATTTGGCCCCTTTTCCAAACTTCCAGAGGCAGAGCTGCCTTTTATAAAGTGACAAAATCAAACTGCAGGTACTAAAACCCCCTTGGAAGGAGGTTTGGGTCTGTTCCCAACTCCCCACCAGCCAGAGAGACAGGATAATAGAGGCTGCTTTTGCTGATATGACTCACATCTGTTCTCTGAACAGAATCAATTTGTACTGCAAAGAGCTGTCACTGAGGTTTCTCATCCTCTCTCCCATCTCTCTGCACCGTCTGGGCCATAATTTGTAATTTCCTATGCAAACCAGGGCTGCTTTTGATGGAGGAGCTGAGCGGGCGCTTTTTTTTTTTCTAAATGAGAAATAAAGAGCATTTCCCCAGCAAACCCCCTTGTTTGGATGAAATAAATCTCTGAACCTCACCAGAGGGTGCAGTGTATGAAGTCCCAGAGACAACAGGGCATCAGCAGAGCCCCCCTGAGGTGTGGAGGCATCTGAAGGTTTATTTACTCAGCTGAAGGTTTATTTACTCACCTGGTTAGAAATGGGGGGGGTTGATTTTAAATGCAAATAGATAAACTGGAGAAACCCCTCCCAGAGCCAGGCAGGTGCTGTGGATTCCTGTTCCCTGGGTGAATGTTGAGACAGGTTTAGGGTGCTTTTATATCCCTCTGGTTCTACCCACTGCGAGTGCTTTGCTGTAATTACACTGAACAGATATAAGTGCTCTCACTTCTGGGACAGTAATCTACTAATCAAAAAGAGCTTTTAAAACTTTGCAAAAAATTCCCTGTTCCTTTGCTTGAACAGTATAAAATACCCTGTGCCTTTAATATCACTAAGAACCAGGATTTACAAAGCCACGCTCATCTGCTCTGAGAGAACAAAGCTTATTCCAAAACCTTTTGAGCTGGGTTTTCTCCATGTTCTTTCTTTGATTATTTTAAAAAAAATAATAATTCTAAGTTGGAGAGAAATTAGAGACAAAATCCCTGAGCTAGTTTCTTAAAAAACCAATAAATTAAAACCAAGGTGAGTCATTTTCTTGTGCTAATTCCAGCCTTTCGTGCTACAACAAATTCGTGATAGAGGCAAGGCAAGAAGTACAAAATACATTTTTCATTCACTGAGAGAAGGTCATTAAATAGAGATATGCTCTATTTCTTTAAGTAGATCAGCATTTATCTAAAATACATACTGGCAGCTAATTTAAATGTACATAGGCAATGACACACAGCCAAGGGAATAATTGGGTTGGGTTCTTCCAGTAGTGGGGAATTTAGGAGCTGTGGGGTGTTGAATTTTCCTGTGAATCCTTACATTGCAAGGGGTGATGAAATCCCAACTGGTGCATTCACTCACCTGAGGTTTTCTTTGTGTTGCTGTTGTTGATGGTTCATTTCTAACAAGATCCTGAGGTGTCAGACAGGACAAATTCCATGTTCTTAAGGCAATTTCTAGGATGGTAAATAAAGGGAAAGCCAGTGTTTCACAAGGTGGGGATGATTTTTTTTCCAAAAGTACCGAACCTGCCAATTTTTTTTCCAGAATAAAACTTAGTTTCCTTTCCTACCCCAGTTCCTTCTTTCCCACCCCAACCACCACATCACGTCCCTGCTGCACCATCCCAAGTGTGGACAGGCTGATCTCACACAGAGGGAAATGAAACCCCTTAAATATCCTCTCCCAGGACGAATTTGTCATTTGCCAGCCAAGAACCCAAATTATTCTTGATCTTTATCTCTTGCTTTTTTATATTCACTGTCTGGGCTTTATTTCCACATCCTCTTAGTGCCAAAAAAAAGGGGCTGTGACACCGTTCCCTGGTGTGTTTTGTCTTGGTTTTTATCAATAGCCTGGAGTTTATGGGGGGACTTTGCTCTGGGATATTGAAGTGTCACGGCCAGAATGGAGAGTGGGGCTTCATCACTTAAGACGAAAGCAATAATTTAAAGTAAATATAATTTTCCTGGGGTTTAGGAGAACTTAATGGCTCCACATATTTAACCTCAGTGTGGTTTTTGTTAAATCAAGCCATAGCAATGTGGCTTTTAACTCTGCTTTTTTTTTTTTTTTTTTTTGATTTTGCTTTTAACTCTCTCACCCCGTTATTTATTACCGAGCCTGAAATTATGTGATCACAAATCATAACTGAAATACCAGACAAACCTCGAGGGCTGAAGAAGGATCTGGTGTCTGAGGACACCAACATAACTTGAGACAGAAGAAATATTTTCTGGCATTTTCTTCGGATCTGGGTCAGATTTTTATGGGATGCACTTTTACTGAAAACAATTAGGAAATTCTTATTATTAGAGCAACGGGGAGCAGCGTGGAGGGTGGTGAGTTGTGGCTGAGTGAAATCATTCTGCTGTGAAAAACTCCAGCAGGAAGCAGTGAAATTTTGGCTCCTTTAACACTGGGAAGCTTCGCCTTGGCTGAGCTTTGCATCCCTTCAGAGCTGCACAAAACCAGGGCTCGGCTGTGGCCAAACCCCAAAGCAGCAGCAGCAGTATCGTGTCATTATTTTAATGCTTGTAGGAAATTGGGGCCACAGACACCTCAGGGGAGTGGCAGCAAAGTGTTGGATCTCTCCTGGATTTTGGTTTGATACGTTGGAAACTGCTCGGGGCAGATCCCACCTGGAGTTGTGTGCCCAGCTCTGGGGTCTCCAATGTAAGAAGGGTGTGGAGCTGTTTGAGAGAGTCCAGAGGAGGCACCAACAGGATCAGAGGGCTGGAGCCCCTCTGGAGCCAGGCTGGGAGAGCTGGGGGTGTTCAGCTGGAGAAAGGAAGGCTCCAGGGAGACCTCAGAGCCCCTTCCAGTGCCTGAAGGGGCTCCAGGAGAGCTGGAGAGGGACTGGGGACGGGATGGAGGGACAGTACACAGAGAATGTCTTCCCACTGCCAGAGGGCAGGGTCAGATGGGATATTGGGAAGGAATTGTTGGCTGTGAGGGTGGGGAGGCCCTGGCACAGGTTGCCCAGAGAAGCTGTGGCTGCCCCTGGATCCCTGGGAGTGTCCAAGGCCAGGTTGGAGGGGCTTGGAGCAACCTGGGCTGGTGGGAGGTGTCCCTGCCCATGGCAGGGGGTGGGACTGGATAATTTTAAGGTCCTTTCCAACCCAACCCAGTCTGTGGTTTTAGGAACTTTCAGGCTCCACATTGGCCCCAGGAGCTCAGCTGCTCCCCAAAGCCCCCCAGAGATGCTCAGCATTATCCCCCTCAGACATCTCAGCTTCCTCCTCCTGCTGAGACCAATTCCCTGTGGCTCAGCACCCCCTGTGTCTGCAGCTCTCCAAATTGTCTAAAAGAACAGGGAAAATGAGTAGAAATAACAGACTAATGATAACATTGGGGGGAAAAAAATCAAAACCTGGCATTTAGTGAACTTTTTTGATCAAAAAATTGGCATCTGTGACAGCCTGAAAGGCATCTCAGATTCCAGCAGCGAGTTTCTGAAGGTAAGGGTGTGATTTACAGGCAGTCTAGGCTTTGACCACATTACTAATTTAGAGTTTTTAGCTAATATGGGGAGAAATATTATGGAAGAAAATGTTTTCTTTCCAAGAAACTGCCATATCAAAAATTCTCTCATATAAACCCAAAATTAAATCTGAGAATAAAAATTGGAAGGGACTGGGCAGTGTTTTCTGCAGGACCAACGTGTGTGTGTGTGAGGCAGCAGCTCAGTAGGAGAGCTGAGAGCATCTCCTGGGGGAGCTCAGGGGGAAGAAAAGGTGCTGGAGCATCCAAGCAGCAACTCCTGGGGTCACTGGCAAAGCAAATTTAACCACTGGTGGTGAGTTCACCTGAAAGAAAATCGGTTTATCAAATCCAAGAGAGACAGAACACTCTGCTTTGTGCTGCCTGCCCCGGACCGAAAGGTTTCCTTGTGTTTTCCGAGTGGAAAATGGAAATGTGGAGAGTTTATGAACTCCAAGTTTATGAACAGAGAATGAGATTTTAGGGGGAAGGTTTTGTCGCATGGTTTTTTGGTTGGAGCTGTATTTTAACAAGAAATTCCCTTTCATGTGCACTCAGAACACACTCTCTCGTACCCACAGTCTAATGTGGAGGTATTTTTAACATCAAATTATTATGTTCCTCCTAGTCAGCTTTCATTCATTATTTACTAAAGCAAAATTTTAAGGATTGCCATGAACTGAAGCAATGGTTGGAAAGGTTATGGTAACAAAATCTTTAATCATTCAGGAGTACCCTAAGATTAGAATATGACTAAAAATAGGCTTTCCTTTCCTGAACCATCCACACAGTGACTGGCTGCCTTTTTTTCCTTATACCAACATGAGTCACTGATTCATTAATATGAATTCTATTTGATTCTACATGAATTGTGTGGTTTTCTTTCCAGCCACGGGCAGGAGTTGTTTGTTGGCTTCTTAATCCCAGCAAAACCTGGAATTAGCAGCATTATCTACTACAACAGTTCAAGCCTAGAGGATCTGAAAACTGAATAGAATGCCAGTACCCTTAAAAGAATTAGGAATATTCTATAGACAGAAGATATGGATGGGAAGGAATTATAAAGCAAGAGAATTAACAGCAATGTTTGTACCGTGTCTGCAAGTCAGAAGTGATTTACGGGGCAATTCTTTTAATGGATCAGAAGGATTTTAAGAAGAAAACAAGGTTTCACATAAGGAGTTGGCTCCATAAATAGTTTTTCTTTTCCTTGTGGAATAAATATTTGTTATCACAAAGGCTCATTTTTTTACCAGTTTGGACAAGTCATGCCTCGTTTGTGCTGTAGATGGGTTGTGCCTGTCCCTGCTCACGCAGAATTAAGTGATGGGGGGAGCAGAGGAAATAATTATTGCCCTGTTTGCTGTTTTTCCATCCCTTATTTTGGTGTATCTGCCCCGCATCCTCACGAGGAACAGGGAACGAAACGCCCGTGCTTAGTTTTAAAGGTGCCATTCCTGCTGTGCCATAAATGAGCCCCGGAGCTCCGTGTGGCCGGGCGGAGCAGAGCATTGGGAGAGGGGGAGCTGCCCCCGGGAATCGCTGCTGTGAGAACTCGGAGAGAACCGGGACACAGCCGGACGGGCAGATGGACACTTTCCCTCCAGCTGCTGCTGTTTTGGCTCCGAGGGCCCCAAAGGCTGTCCCCAGAGGGCCCTGCCTGCTCGGATGCTTCGCTCCCCTTCCCTCCAGCAGGTCTGATGTGCCCTGGCACCGATGTTCCTCCCCGGCTTGGACACGATAACGAGCTCGCTGGCAGCTCCGCTTTGTCCTCGTTGGATTTTTGCTGTGCTTCATATATTTCCTACTTGTTTTTTTGTTTTTGGCTGGTTTTTTTTAAGTGTCTTTCCCTGTAGAACAAGGAAAGGATGCAGCCATTGCTTCTGAACCTCCTGCTCTTGACTTGTTAGCAGCCAAAGCCAGCGGGTGGTGGGGTGCTGGAGCCTTTTTGGCAATCGCCTCCGCTCCTCGTGTCAACGTTAAGGATGCAGCTCATTTCTGGATGCTGGGAAATTCCAGCCTGTAATGACAGTGGCTGCTTTCAGGAAGGGATTTTAGCCAAATAGGCTGTGTTAATATGTGCTTTCTGCAGGTTCTGTCAGCCAGGAGTGATGTACAGTGGAAGCTTTAGCACCTCAGAGGTAATTTCGAGGCTGATTTATGTTCTGGGTGTAGCTGAAACACAACTAAAAAACCCCCTGGAGTGACACATCTTGTGTCAGAGCTGGCAGGGTCTGAGTGTCTCCTCTGCCTGGCATCTTCAACCTTCCTCCTTCCACCCAGTCTGATTTAGGAGATTTTCTTTATGACTTGGCTTGGATGGGCACTGATGGACAGGCTGTGTCCTTGGGAGCTGCCTGAGGATTTCCTGTGGGTTTTACTTTAGGGAGTCACTGCAGGGAGACTGAGGGCTTTGTGTCCCACCCCTGTGTGGTCCCATGGAAATGGAGCACAGGATGGAACATGAGGACTGGGTGGTTGCAGGTAAACTGAAGGCTCCACTCATCAGAAGGGCACTTTCCAAGGATTAAGGCAATGCCAGTGGAGGTATCACCATAACAGAGACAGAGAGGACAGGTGTCTCCAGGGATAAAGGTGTTCCCATCTCATCTCAATCTTGGCCTACAGAGATGGTGAAGGGTCTGGAGGGGCCATAAGAGGAGCAGAAGATGTGACTTGGAGGTTCAGCTGGAGAAGAGGAGACAGAGGTC